TCTGAACTGTTCGAGTCGTGAAATCATTGCTACGAAATGCAAATAAATAATACAAATAAGTGGATAGAATCTTTCATGTTGCTCCTTTCGACGTTTTAATTGCCTCTTTGAACGCTTTAATCGACGTGATCACGTTCTCCAGGATATAAATTCTTACGACGTTGTTAGTATTGGCTGAATGATGCGAGAGATTAAAAGTAATGGCACCATGAATGAAAATTGACCCCAGGGAAATTTAATTTTCAATGTTCAATTTCACTCGTTAAATTCTCCCGTATCCGACGTTTTTCTGTCGGTAAACGCACCTTTCGAAGGAAATCGTATAGTTATTGCTTTGTTACGACCAATTATAAAAGCAATTATTCAATCTTTAATATCACAATTTCTAGTTTAAAACATAAAATCTTCTTTTATATAAAATATAATTAGCTGCACAAAAATATAAAATATCGCCTGTAAACAAAGAAGAAAGTAAATTACAAACAATTCTAAAATTTAGATTTTAGACGTAATTTTGAAACTTTTAAATCTAATTGACAACTATCGCAAGTAAAGTATAACTTTGGTACGATACTTGGTAGGAACAGTGGGAATCAAACAGCTGGAAAAGAACGTTGTAACCTTAGCGCCACAGAACGGCGATGACGTCCTTCCGAATACAAAAGAAAGATCTACGCTGCATCGATCTTGGAAAGAATGGTAGTAGAAGGGTGAGAGGAATATATCAGGCGAAGTACCAGCAGTCACCTTGACCCAGTTCACTCTGGATAGTCTTGGGAAACGACGAGGAACGAATCAAGCGCGACCAATAATACAAGAATTGATTTTGCGATAACAATACCCGGTTGCCCTGTGTAGTCGTGTAATAGCTTAGATGGCCTGGTTTTAAACGATCCCGTTACAGTAATTTTCATCAATTTTTTCGTTTAAAATCATCTTTTGTAACCCTTTTGTAATATGCAGTAGAAAGTATTAAAATGTGAGTAATATGAAAATTGAAATTTTCTCGACATTTTTCTATCTTTCTTCTTTTCTTTTTCTTTCGTGGAGAAATGTGATGAAATTGAAATAAATGTCGTGTCAATGAAAGAGAGATAGAGAGAGAGAGAGAGAGATAAAATGGATCGAAAGGTCAAATGTGGAGTAAAAGTCAGAAGTTGGAGATTGTTTCATCTGAATTGTGGAATCCAGATTATTGAATTTAGTTGTTGGTTCGATATTTTGATTAATATGGATCTTTTTGAACTATACATTATTTTATATTCATTTAGAGTTTATAATTTATTTATGATTGTATATTATATCGGTGATTACTCGAAAATCGTTCTTTAGGAAGAACTATGTTAAGGTAATAAGATTTCACAGAGTTTGATAGAAGACTTAGAAGGAAATTATATTATAATGGATCTTGATATTGTAGTTACATAATAGTTCTTAAGAACTGGTGTCAATAAGAATTGTTACAGAAAAGTCTTTTATCTATACAGTTAACAAATAATTATTTATTTTGCACGGATTATCACTTAAGGAATATTAAAGTAAGGAAATGAGAATAACTCCAAAAGTATCATTCGCTTTATTAAATATATCTGATTTGCTAAAAATGTTACTTCTCGAAATCGGAAATAGGTATCATTAAGAATAGAATTTACACATAACGATGATCGACCATAGCGTTCATTATTGTTCAAGTAATTATGGATAATTCCGTAGACTATATCGCGAGCCAAATATCAAATGATTGAAAGGAAACATTTGTACCATAACGAATCTGAGACAATATACCAACACATAGATTAAACAAGCTTATCAATTGAATATTCAAATTGGCTGTGAAACCGCGAATGAATCACGCATACGGGGAGAGATAGCTGGAGTCCAGCAGATATACCATCTACGGTTCTCTCTCACTCATATTGATCAGAGCTGTTTGGCCGTGCTCATAAACGTGTAACCTCGACCTTCGAACGATTCTTGCTCTCCACTTCGACCAAAAGGAGCTTCTTCAACTTTATGCGATTCGATTACTGGTTTATGGATACAGGGTGTTCAACAAAGATTGTGCCGAATTCAAAGATAATACTTCTTAAAGTAAATACAACGGAACAAAGTGAAAATATACAAGGATAAATAAAAAATGAAATTAAAGATAGAAAATTCGAATTTTTCGATTACGAAAGAATTTATGATAGATATATACTTCTTAAAATGAATGGAAATATATAAAAATAAGATAAACACAAGAGCAAAAAAAATATTACAGATAAAAATAAATAAGTACAAAGAAAGAAAGTATATAAAAATAAATTGGGAATGGAATTACAATAGATAAAAAAAAAACTCAAATTTTCAACTTATAGAGATATATTGTTCGACAGAGGGAATACAAAAAGAAGAAATGAGAAAGACAGAAAACTTAAAATTCAGAGCAATCTTGTCTACATTATTCTCAATAACGAACTGTAGGTTATCGTTCAAGCAAGTGGAAATTGTTTTTCCTACATATCATCCGGACTGGAAATTAAATGTTAATCACACGCAATTACCAACCGTGTCTATTATCAAGCAAAGTGATTCGAGAAATACAAGAAAAATTTGAAGAGGAATAGGAAGCCGTGAATCATCGAGAATTTCATCTACGGGTGTGCGTATAACAGTGATTACGCAATATAATTCACGTTACACGTGACTATTGCATATTTTCTTTTTTTTTTTCTTTTTTAAGAGCAGAGCAGTTGATCACGATAATTAGAGCTGGCTGAACCACATTTTCAGTTGTTTTTATCTCGCTGAGACTTTATACATCGCTCGGTCCAATTACTCTGGCGCGTTGATTAAATAAAAAAAAAAAAAGAAAAAAGACGCGAGATTATTTAATCGCGTATCGTTATCTGATAAAACCGTTATCACGGCTGGTTGTAAACTAGAGAAGCACATATCCCGCTCGAGTAGGCCCGATTTTATGGCTGAAAGTTTAGAGCATAGGGAATTTAAAATATGGAGAAACTTTGTGTTTTATGCAAATTATATACTAGCTGAAAGGAAGATCGGAAAAAATTTGGTATAATATGTAAAAAGTTGTATGAAAAATTGGGCAGAATTAAAATTGTAGTATTTAATTTATAATAATAATATACATTTATAATATATAATTATTGTAGTATTTATAATTGTAGATGGATAGAATATGAGAGGTGAAAAGTTGCATGAAAAATTTGCAGAGTTATAAAATATTTTAGTATAAAGTATAGGAAGCTGTACGAAAAATTGTGGAAAACTGTAAAGAATATTATGATAAATGGATATGATACATGGAGAATATGATATGTACCTAGGTTAATGGAAAATACTTCACTTTTTAGAAGATCTATGAGAAATTTTAAATCATCCACTATGAAGAGTAAATATTTGGGTGTTCTCGGACTATCAATATGTATTGTCAATGCAGTATTGTCGATATTTATTGACAAATTGAATTTTCGTTTAGTTTCGTTGAGAATCGTTGAAATATAGACAGTTCGATTGCCGATTTATTTCAATTCTAACAAAACTCGTTGATAGAAAGGAAATTCAATGCTAATCATAAAAATTAAATCTTGAGAACATTAGAAGAATACCTGAATAAAAAATATGGAAATCTCTATGACCGAAAAATTAAGAAAAGGAATTATATTTCTAGATAACAATAGACGTCGAAGACCGGTTCATAAAAATTTCGATTTAGATATCCATTACGAACGGAACATCCAATTTATATTTCTTTACGTTCATCGAATTTCTTTAAACATTTCGTCATATTTAAATGAAATATTTCTTCTCGGAACATTTTTTCTACCTGAACTACAATTCTCACATGAAAGAACGTGTTCTAAAAAGAGAACAACCATGAAATGCATTTCTAGTTGATGGAGGTTTTCAGAGTCGGATCAGATCCGATCTTATCGACCGATGTGCTTGGTTGAATCGACAGGCAACAACAGCGTGTGGTGTACACGCGTGGTAACTCCCTTGGAAAGCTATTTACGAGTAGCTATCGGAATCGTTTACACGGAAAGTCGATTTCACGAGCTTCCGGCTCGTGGACAACCCGTAACGAACGCCTCAACCCGTTGACATTCTCTTGTTCTCCCGCTTTCGAAATCGGTACACACCACCGATTGTCGATCGTTCTCACGTCCTGCCTTCTTCGATATAATTGCGTTACAACGTTAATTAAAGTAACGAGTTACGAGATTCGAGTCAGGCAAACGCTTTCGTTTGCATTCATTCAACTCGAGATACTTGGGAAAAATGCGGTCAGACATTCGTTTGGGAAGCTTCACCGTAAAACCAACTTGCTAATAGGATGTTTTGTAGAATTCTTTAATTCGAATGTTTTTTTACCAGCAATGTGTATGGAGTGTAACTAGTGATAGGTAAAATAAATTGAAAATATAGAATACAATTTTTGTTGACCTTCGAAATAATTGATCTTAAATAGGTGTACATTTAAACATGTCTTGATTTGAGAGTAGAACTAGAACTGATGGAAATAAGTAGATATGTGTAATCATAATTCTCTCATAATCCAAGTCAACGTTAATTGCGACAAAAGTATTTTTCCATATATTTGATAACTTTTTGGTTAAAATGTTTAAAATCTATCGTTTCAATGATAGTTAAATATGTTACTACCTCTAGTTATGTTTACATTTAATGCACCAGATATCAACGGATGAATCAGAACATTCAATGAAACAGATTTCATTCAGGAAGAAGGTCATAGGAAAAGAGATAAAGCGACGTATATCTAATTTTGAAAATAATTTCGAAACGGAATAAATAGAAGAAATTGAGAAACCTAAATAACTAGAAATTAGGAATTGAATTTAAAAATTGTTTTTCCATAAAAGATGGAGAATAGAAAGTAATATGTTTTCTGCAATGTTTGTACTAGTAAGTCACGTATTAAATTATATACGTGTATTAATTTATAACTAACATATTTTATTTACTTTCAGGTTCGACGCGGGTCACGATGGATTCTTGGATCTATCCGAGTTGAAACGCATGATGGAGGTTTTAGGAGCGCCGCAGACCCACCTGGGTTTGAAGGCAATGATACAGGAAGTGGACGAGGATGGCGATGGACGGATTTCCTTTCGCGAGGTTCGCCATTTCACCCGTTGATTGCCGTTCATTTTCGAAAATTTCGCTGCACACGCTCCTTCCTCTATAATAAAATATGTAACGCAGCAAATAAAAAGGCGGAAGTAACTCTATTTACGTAACAGGTTCATTTTACAAGGGAATCAGTGCATTCGCGAATACTTTCGAACGAATTATCTTCCTAAGTTTAGATTTCGCTATTAGATTTCGCTAAAAGACTGCGGACTTTTATGTATTTATAGGAAATTGAAACGTGCAAAAATGTAGAGAATGCAGGCGACACGCGAAATTATTCGAAGTAAATAACTTCATAAAATATTTAGAGATAAAACAAATTTTTATGTATATATGTTTTCTTATGTTTTATCTTGATATGCAGAGGAAAATTTTAATTTAGATTTTGAGATTCTGTTTATAGAAATATAGATTTGCACAGACATTCACAGTTTAGTTATTATCTTTGATAACTATATCTTTAATAATATAAAATTCTTTGATCCGAATTTCACTTTGTAACGTTGAAATCGTTTTATTTCTTGGTGATGAAGATTGCGTTTAATGCGCGGCCGCACGTGTCATATACACTTCATAAAAATAGTCCCGCCCCATGGGGTGTTGGACGCGTTGCTCTTTCACCGTGGCCACAGTGTTTGTTCTCCATGTGTGGCCCTGGCACATTTGTGGGGCTCAAGCTGTTCTATTTCAGTGAAGTACACTGGTTTTAGACGGTTGTTTGAAGTACATACATGTTGTGATAAAACATTATGATAAAATTGTTAGTTTATTGTAGAGCTCAAGCTCAACTCCAATCTTCTGTTGCTTGGTCTATGTTCTCCAACCAACTATGTGTTATTACCGTATTTTAGGATTTTGAACTAGAATTGTTAAAGTAAGACGATTTTTGCAAATTGATCTTTGTATAGGAAGCACTTCTATGAATGTTTATTTATTCAAAATAGCATGAAGCATATTATAAAGATTCTGATAAACCAATCTTTCTATAATAAAGACTTTTATGAATTTTTATTCATTCAAAGAGCTATGAGTCATATCAGAGAGGTTCTTCTAAATCGATCTTCTGATATACAACATTTATGAATTTCTATGCGTTCATAAGACTATGAGTCACGCAAAAAAATTCTTCTGAATCCATCCTCTAATATTGTGTGGAAACTCTTTTACGAAACTTTCTAAATTGCTGAATACATGAGGAATATTTTACATTACAATATCAACGTTATTTCCTAACAGAAAATACTTTTTATCAATTTTTCGCAGTTTTTAAATGTATCATTTTAATATTTCGGACTATGATATTACACGAGACATTCTATCTACCTATTTCACTTTTTTGATTTCACAACGGTCGTTGAAAAAAAATATCGAAATGCGCGGTGAAGTATGATACATGTGAAAGATGTACAAAAATGTTAGGAATAAACGTTAGGACCATCTGGCGCTCAAACTAGCGAAAAGTCTTAATAAACATAGAAGCATGGGTTCAAAAACTATATTAGTATGGAAGTAGTATGGAAGTTGGGAGATTCAGTTTATAAAAATATAGTATATATCCAGAAGTCCGTTGTGGAAAAAAAGCTTCTCGAAAATGGGGAGAGGTTTTTAGTGGGTATGGCACAACCCATCTTGCCGAGTCCCACATAACCCAGTGGCACGGGCCATTGGGTATGCGTAATGCATTTTCCCCTCCTCGAGCAAAAAAGAAAAATGGTACCTGCACTGTGCAGCGGTCAATTAATTAACAAAAAGTCCTTTAAGGGCATGGATCTTGGTTATAGCGGAGGCATAAGACGGTGGTCGGTTAACAAGGCAAGAAGTAACTCTCTGCTGCATCGCTTTGTACTTTTTGAATTTCGCTCCTCCCTTTTCTTCCTTGTAGATTACACAGATAAGAAGTTACGCATTTTGAATAGCATATGACTTTAGCTAGTGTAATTGGTACACTGAAAAAAACGGCAGGGAAATAACTGAAGTAAAATAATTGGAAATCAAAAAATTTTACATCAGCCGTTTAAAAAAAATATTGAGATGTCCGGCGAAGTGTTATGGATATAGAGAATGCACAAAAATGTTAGGGATGAACGTTAGAACCATCTGGCACTCAAACATACGTAAAGTGTTAATGAACATAGAAACATTCAAAAGAATGCTTTCAAAATGGTTTCACTAGACTTTGGAGATCTAATCGAAACCCAAATTATCTACGCGTGTTGTAAAAAACTATTAGTTAAGGTGTTTTTGTCATTAAGACCTTACCTTTACAACATATGTTCAAGATAATATAAGAATTTATATAAAGTTAGATGGCCAAAAGAAATAACAACGTACTATTTTAATTAAATTTTCCAACCAGTCGTTCGACTCGCAACTCTGAAACTATTACGTTTTGAAGCCATGTTTATTAAGACTTTATTTAGTTTTTATAAATCCCACATACTGCCAAAGTTTGTCTCCAGCTTCTTTTTTTTTCTTTTTATACATTTGCATTACGTTATAAGAAATTTCTCAAGGAAAGTAATGGTTTGGCGTTGGTATTGCACTAGGAAGGATAAATCGCGAATGCTAAGCCATGCGTACACGTCGAAGGAAAGTTCTCCTGACCGGTGCTAATGCATACCTGGACGTTTCTACGTGACGTTTCGCAGTCCTCGAACAAAGCGTTCGATCTGCATACACGCGATCGGTTGTCGGATTCATAGATTACCGTGAATCACGCGCGTCACCGACGTCATTGAACTCGGACACATTGACCAATCTTCCACCTTCCTCTTTTACTCATCGCTTCCTCGATGTAGATCGCGAAACGATATACCGTGGCTGCCAAATGATAATACCTTCCGGCGTATAAATGATAATACATATGTATTGTTTAAATTTAAAGAATACATTAAATTTCTCTCATGCTTTAGAAATAATACTCTGATTAAGATAATTACAGAATCATCTTCCATGTCGCTTTCATTGATTCTACAATGCTTTGCTATCTAGAAATAATACACTGATCAAGATAATTAAAGGACCATCTTTTGTATAATCGAATGAAAGAAATTCTGAAAGTTATATACATCGTTTTTCATCCAATTTTTGGTAATTTGGACATTTGGTATTAACAATAGAATTACCTAGGAGATATTTAAAATCCATGAAAATAAAGAAATTGGTATAGGAACAGTGAGAGTAACTTTGAATACATGAAAAATCTATAAAAATATATAGATTGGTGTAAAAACGCTATTCAGTTCAGTAAGAGATCGATTGAATGCTGCCGCAAAGTATCAAGTGCCTGAGCTACAATTTGTCACGTTCTATCAAATTCCGTTGAAAATAAGAAAATGATCGGCGATCGTGATAAAATAGTCCCGTGATACTCGGCAATTTGATTTTATCTGTAAACACATATGGCTTATAACTTGTTACAGTTTCTACTAATCTACCGCAAAGCACGTGCTGGTGAATTAGAACAGGACTCTGGGTTGGGCCAGCTTGCACGTCTTACAGAGGTCGACGTGGATGAAGTAGGAGTAACAGGGGCTAAACACTTCTTCGAGGCCAAGGTATAAATACTTTTTTTAATCATATACAGAGACTTACAAAAGTTCTCCAATACTTATAGACCATACAATGAAGACAATATTATTCTCTTTATTCTCCATGAAATTTAATCAGCGGTAGTTAACGAAATTAATTAACTCTCTTCGTGTGATATCAATAATCCTTATTTTATCTTTCACAAAAATTTTCATTAATAAAAGTTGAGATAATAATACGGTAATAAAGTACCTGCCTCTCCATCATTTTTATTTAAATAGAATTTAATTAAGAAGAGTTAATGAAATATCTTACTCCCCGTAAAATTTTATAGTTCTCAATAAATTTAATGATCTTAATTCCTCTGCATACCTCGTTAATGGAAAGAGGACAATGATAGACGAATCACAGTGATGACAAATTCAGAATTCAGGAAAGTGTGTTCGTGTTAATTAACGTTACCCGGTGTATGAATTACCATGTTCCCAGATCGAGCAGTTACGGAAGGCGAGCAAATTCGAGGATGAGATCCGCATGGAGCAAGAGGAACGAAAGCGGGAAGAGGAGGAAAAAGCGGCGAGACGAGCGCAATTCAGGCAGAAGGCGGCTCTGTTTGGCAATTGAAAGGGAAATTCGTGAATCGAAAGTGTGCTCCTTCTGTACCTTAGCGGAATTACAAACGATTACTTAAATTCGATTCACTCTAGTTTCGTATAGAAATTCGCCGACCGATATAATTGCGTATATCGACTATGGTTTTGTAATTGTGTGGTGTTGAAATCGGCGAAAAAGTTTTTTACTCTTATTTCAAGACTCCGAATAAAAAAATATGATAAGTCGTATTATATGATTTTTACATGAAAGCCATTTTAAAACTTGTTATATCGACAGTTAATACTTTTTCATTTTATTTTGAGATTAAGTGTGTATTTTTGACATCCTCTTGAGTATTTAAGAAATATTAAAAACATTAATCATGCAGACTAGTAATAATGAAAGCTAGTTAGATTAACATTATTTCTTTCTTACAGAATATTGTCGATTAATCACTTATTTTCAAAAGACTTGTAACTATTAAGTTATTCTTCTTCTCTCAACTGTCTAATGTTAAAATACCTCGTATCGAGTGGTATAAAAGTCAGAAAATGAATAAAAATAGACTTATCATATTTTTGTAGTCTCTGTCTGTTTTAAGTTTGCGGAGGATTTTTAATCAACTGATATAGCGACGCTATTTTTAAGAGAATTTTAACGTTTGCACATCGCCAATACCAATAATCACACTTATGTTTCACTAAAAAAAATTTCGAAACAATCTTTATAAGAGTCAGTATCGTAGAGATTAATATGAAATTTGGAAATGAAATTCATTTAGCGATGTTGTAGCATCAAATTTTAGAAAATGAAATATTAAATGTGAATCGTCCTCGAATGGTTTGGCACTGTGTTAAAGCTCCGAATTCTGGAGATGACCTTTTTAATTATTTTATTATATACGAGAAGTATTAGCTGTAAAAATTAAAAGCACTTGTTATAGGTATGATTTACATTTTATACTCAAAATACCACGCACTTGAAATCGTTAAATAAATTAGGAAGATCAAAGGAAATGCTTTTATTGGAAAGTTTGTTAGGTTTGATCAGTTTAGACTATTCTCGATAAAGCGGGCTATAAATAATTTTTAACGAATGCACGACTGATATTGGTATAAGTATAACGAAATATTTTATGTATATGTATGTACATTAATTTATATGATAACCTGATCTTATGTGAAGTTGAGACACTCTTCGAGAAAGAAACATTTCGCAACATGCGTCGAGAAATCTCTTTTGATTCTTTCGAAATCTACGAAATCTAATTTTGTGGAAAATTTTATGAAATATATTTTATGAATTAATTAATTAATTTTATGAATTTTGGTCGTGAGATGTCAAACTATCCATATATTTCTACAAATATTTAGCTTAGTCGAAATATCAAAGAGAGGACATTTTTTATCGATCTAAGTGGTCTTAATAATTATGCAATAGTATATACTTTTATAATATTTTGTTTCAAATTGATCAAAAATATAAGGCGATTCCAAATTATTTTTATACGATTTTTATAAATGTGTTTCAGAAACAAATTATTGAGATCGTGTATAATTGTTGCGAATTGTACATACGAAGTATATAGTTTAAATAAGTTTGTAAAATTATAAATTGTAAATAAACTTTTTGTTCTAATAAACTTTTTTTATATACTTTGATTAATCGCTACGCAGTAATAATTGTTATAGTGTTTTATCGATATTGTGATTTGTGCAAATTGCATTAATCTTGCAGTATGTTAGCATATTGCAAATTGATGTAAAATAAAAATACTAATTTACACGAAATCGATATTAAAAATTTTTATTGCAATAACACGAATTTCTCTTTGTCGTTTAAATATTAACAAATTATTCCTTTGATTCAGATAATTTTAAAACTGGCGCCATTGCTACCCATATTTTCTTTTTCTAGTGCTACCAACTTCAGAATCAAACCTATTATTTGTGTACAAAAGTAATAAACATTGCTGAATAAAAAGCACGTAGTAAATTTCATTTTTGAAAATTAATTACAAATGTATATTTTAATATATTAAAACAAAATATATATTACATGGTCTATCACATTGAAATAACATTAATATCTTCTATATTCAATATTTAATATTCAATAATTACTAATATTCTTTATATACATTATAATATAATAAATTTAAAACATTAAAAGACTAATAAAATAATCTTACTCTAATTTTAACACAGTTACATTGTTCATTTCTTAGAAGTAATCATCTTGCAACATTAACTTGCTAATGTTTTATGTACATAATTAATTGTTTATACATGTTATCTATGTCTGATATCTTATCAACGTTTGGCTGTCTTTATATAACATATGATAATAGATTTAAAACAGAATTTGTGGATAAGTTTGTAATAATGGCAACAAGTCAGGTATGTTACAGTTCAAAATTAAAAATATTAAATCAATGTTTGCAAAAAAATTTCCTTGGAAAATTAATAAAATATTTAATATTTTGTAGGCCAAAAAAATTGTCAATTTGTACAAAACATTAGTACGAAATCCTTCTTTAACTGATGCAAAGATTTTTGAGCTAAGTGAAAATGAAATATCGATTTTAAGCTCATGGTCCCAAAGAAATTTAGAGAGAAAGACAAATCAAAAATTTGGCCAAACTCACATTTTAAATTCAAAGTTACAAATACAATCTCAAAGCTTCCCCTTTGATACTACAACAGAGTATGATACATATTTGTTATAAAAATATAATTAGTTATATCTTTAAGATATACATCTAAAAGAAAGCTTTCTTTTCATTGTAGACTTCTATCTGATTTTACTGAGGATAAACAATATAAAGCGATATTAAGGCAGGCTACAATTGAGAATACTACAAAACAGTTTATTGAAATCTGGGATAAACAGAGGCTTGTGAAAAATTATGATTTAACTGCTTTGGATGTACATGGAGATGTATACACAGATTGTAGTTATTAATCAAAAATTATATACATTCACTACACAATATTTATGTAATATAACATCTAACAAGAATTAAAAGTTTTTGTTCTTCCTGTTTCTAGCTGAATTTTCTTCTTTTCAATGGTCTCCAGACAAAAAGAAAGTATTATATATTGCTGAAAAAAAGCAACCAGAATCTGAACCCTTTTATAAGCAGAAACGTATGGATAAAAATAAAAAAGATGAGCATGAAGTAACAGTGGTAAATTGCTTCATTCTTTAATTATACATATAAAGTAAAAGTAAACTTTAATTAATAAAACATTTGATATAGGGTAATGAATATATTTACAAGCCTCATTGGGGAGAACAATTGGTAGGTAAACACCATCCAGTTGTTGCTGTCCTTGATACGACAACAGACACAATTTCAGCTCTCTCAGGTATACCAAATGATCTCTCACCTGCTCAAGTACTATGGACTGCAGATAGTCAAGGTGTTGTTGGTGTAGCATGGAAACATGAGCCAAGACATTTAGGTCTTATTGCTTGTACTAATAGACTCTCTTGGATATTTTTATTAAAAGATGGAGAGTACAGTAAGAAATATCCCATGTCACTCCATTGGCTTATAAATTAAGATCATATAACTATGTATATACATTGTATATATATTTTTTAGAAAAGCTCTCAAGCGATGGGTGTGCTGTCCATAGCCCAAGATTTAGTCCTGATAAAAAATATCTTATCTGGTTAGAAAGAGAAGCAGGTGGTCCACATCATAATGCTCACAGACTTATGCATCTTGAATTTGCTTCTGAAAATTCAAAGGTATTTGTATATTGGAATATGCTTAGTTTACTGTTCATTTTATTTAAATTTATATCATTGTATTTTCTTTAGGCTGATATACTTGTAGACATTGTAAATTCGAGCATACCTATTCAAAATGCTGAAAAGTTTTATGGCTTGTATGGTCGTTTACCACGCCAATGCTGGAGCACTGATTCACAGTATATATTTTTGAGTACAGCACAACAGAATAATACACGTTCTTACATCATTAATAGAAGTAAAAATTCAAACTATGTCTCACGTTTTACTAATTCTTTCCTTTGTTTAAATCATTAATAACAAAAATATTATTTACAGAAACAAAAGCTATAACTGAGATCCAAAATGATAAAAGCAGCCTTGCTATTTTGGACGTAAAAGATGATATTATTGCATTTTCGGAAACATCTCTTTTAGAGCCATCTATGCTTACGGTAGGAAGATTTGACTCAAAAACAATTAGTAATGGTCGCATTAAAAGAAATAAAATTTCTATTCCCGACAAAATTCCTGGCACTGAAAATTTAATGTATGAGCCTTCTGAATATGATTACAATAACGATGAAGAAATAAGTAAGTAATTTGTCATTTCAAGGATTGAAAGATATAGACTAAATGTTTTTTAACGATTTTACAGAACACTTTAACTTCATTTATTTTGGACCAAAAAGAGGAAATGACAAATCTGTACCTTTAATAATCATACCACATGGTGGACCTCATTCTAACTATGCAAATTCGTTTATACTTGATTATTTCTTGCTTGTTTTATCAGGTAAACTTTTGGTTTGCAATAATTTATATTCAACAATCTGTCTTAATTATTCATAAAGATTTTAAACTTTCCCTAAAAAATTATTTTTATTTAAGGTTTCGCTGTGGTACAAGTTAACTATCGTGGCTCTACCGGAATGGGATCAAAGAATGTTGAATATCTTCAAGGAAAAGTTGGAGATGTCGATGTAAAGGACTGTGTGACTGCTACAGAAGAAGCTTTACGAAAATACTCATGGTTAAATCCAAACAAATTAGGAATTATTGGTGGTTCACATGGAGGATTTTTAGTTACTCATTTAAGTGGTCAATACCCAGTAAGTTCATAAACTATTCATATACTTAAAAAAATAATAAAATTCAGTAATATGCAACAATTTATTCTTGTAGGACTTATATAAAGCTGTTGTTGCAAGAAATCCTGTAATCGACATTGCTGCTATGTTCACTATATCAGATATTCCAGACTGGTAAAATATTAATGTATTATTGAAGATTTTTCGTAGGGTCATAGTCATTTTTCATGAATTACAATTATATTGCAGTCGCAATGCGCTGAGTAAAGAAGAAAGAATTATGTAAGATCAGTTGTAGAATAATGTACAATGAAAATAACAAAATAACATAATAATACAAAGATTAGATATGATATAGAATTCTTATTTCAATTATTGTTTTCATGATACATCTAATTTTAGGTGTACTGCCGAAATCAATTATGCCTTTGATGAAAGTGCACCAATGTCGGAATCGGATCGAATTGAGATGTTTGTGAAGATGTTTAAGTGTTCCCCGATTATTCACGTTAATAATGTGAAAGCTCCAACCTTGTTATGTATAGGCTCGAGCGATTTACGAGTACCCCCGTCTCAAGGAAAACTGTGGTTTCAACGTCTTAAAGCGAATGATGTTAGAACAAAGTAAGAGTTTTATAAGTACAAATTAAAAATTATGGTCACCATGAAATCTTTATTAAATCTTTATTACAGGATGCTAGTTTATAACGATAATCATCCTTTATCATCAGGAGCTGCAGAAATTGATAACGCTATCAACGCTTGTTTGTGGTTACAGGAATATGTTGGGGTATAAATGGGAATAACATAATGAATAATTTTGTAACTGAATACGTGTTAATTAACCAATGAACACTTTAATAATAATTGAAAGACAATCTTGTATAAATATTATATTTATTAAATACTGTATTTTTCCAACATTAAAAGCGACTTATAAACTATGAACAGGTTTTTGTTCTAAAATAGTACTTTTCGTTGCTGAATAATTGACCATACATAGTGGCTATTTATATTTTATACATTACGGATCTTGTACTTATATCTCAATATAGTTTTGTAGAACAAGTTATATAAAATATAAAAATATTCAGTATTATAAATGCTAGTGTATACAACATTGACAAAATAGTTGGTATAAAATACTAAAAAGAAATTCGGTATTCTTATCGATCACTTGTATGCGATTATATCTGTTTCATTCAAAAAGGCACTCATTCATACCATATATCTGAAGACTGCATTGTGTACAACAATATCTAATTAAAACATTAGATAACAAGTCAGTACAAATTAATTACATATAATAACTTGCATTTACAATTATGATCTAGCAGGATTACTTTGTTCTGGAAACAGGGAATCATAACTAGGTGGTAAATCTTTATCAGCAACCGATGAAGGAACTGCGACTTCTAACATCGGTGCTGAGGGAACTGATGGATTTACAGATCCCTCTGTATCACGTGATAATGGTTCTGGTCTCGAACACACGTTTGAATCGGCGCAATCGATAGACCAACATAATTTTTGTGACCTTTTACATATCCATAAACACACAATGAATATGATAAAGCATAAAATCAGGGAACTCACTGCACCTATTGTTACATTTGTACCAGTACCAGAGCTAGTAATTTCATGAGTACAATTATTCTCATCAGAACAAATACCTGGTATACAATTGTAAACGCCATCGCAAAAGTATTCATTTAGCAGACAGGTATCATGACCAATTAGTTTGTATCTCTTGTAGCCCACATTACTGCAATCTATGATATTAAATGTTACATGAAAAGTATAATTTATAATTATAAAATTTTAAAATCAACCTAACTTACTTCCGAATGTTGTATAAGCAATGCGAATAGCAAGAAACTCTCCTTCTTCTAACTTCTCTTTTGATATAAATATTTCAGTTTCTAATTCTGCATTAGATTTATGATTGCTTGGATCATATTCAGCATAAATCTCTGATAATGATTGTGATTCAGTACGATCTTCTGACTCATGAATTGCATACTTCATATTACTGCGATCAACTAAACCACAAAACTTCTCGGTCTTATGAAAATCTTTTCTTTTAAACTAAAACAGATTAAAAAATTATTTATGATTTTATCTAAAGCAATAACAAATTATTACTTACTTGTACATAATCCAGACACTGTGTTCCGTTTTTTCTGAAAGACATTTTTTGAATGACTCCAAATAATCCATAACCTTTGGCCGTAATAAATTTAAATTTACAATGAACATTAGCACGAACATTCCATCGGTCCAGCATGTACTTCGGCCGTACAATCGCCGCACCGATTTTAATGTCTATAGTTGACACTTTACCAAGTATATGACACAACTTCTCCGACTCCAACCCATCTAGAAGAAGAAATCACACGTTAAATATCCTTACCAATAATATCAAAAAGTTAAAAAAGGATGATATTATTGTTTCAAAAAGACTTACATTCTTCGTAATAATTATTATAAAATGCACACAAACTATAATCCATACAACTGTTTGCGAAATATAATAAGCATAGAAAACTTAAGACACTCCGACGAGCCATTTTTTACAGGTACTGTCAAAAAGCCATAAAGAATATGGGTAACGTCACCATTACCAGTCGATGATGTGTATATCTAAATCCTTAAAGGAATATCTATATGAAATAAGGAATTCCAAGAATTATCGTTAAATGTATTCTACAAAATCGTTTGGATTTACTGTCCTCACGGATACGTCATTCCCATATCAAAACAAAACGAATGTGTTCCTGTACATTCGAGAGAAATCATGAGATCCGAGTTCGAGATCGCGATCGAGATTGACAAACTCGATCTGATACATTCAAATGAAAATATATGCATCGTTGGGCAAATATCATTTTTGTGTTTGCAACTGAGAGGAATAAATTTTTCAGGATTCTTCACGGTAGATAACGATTATTGTAAAATAAGAATAAAATGAAAATAATTAAACTTGATTATGGAGACGTGGAAATTGGTAAAACGGCAATAAAGACGATAGAGATATGGAATGAATCTTACGTAAGTATGTTTGGTATCTAATTATTAAGCAGACTTTTAGGCAATTATGTGAAATTTGAAGCTGCATAAATGCACAGAATACGTTTAGTATGCAAAAATATGTAAAATATTTAAAGTAAAATACGTGTTATAACATTTAATAAATAAAACATCCTTACTTTTATTCCATTTTTTTAGTTTATAAAATAGTGAATAAAATAAAAATTTGAATTTGCATAAATATTTGTAGTTTAATAATTAATAGACTGCGAATTTTTATACATATATGCGAAATTTAAAGTTGCATAAATGCACAAAATACATTTAATGTGCAAAAAATGTATAAAATATTCAAAGTTATAGTTAGTGTTGTTATTATAGTGTTATAGTTATTATAATCTGTGATAATACTATAATCTGTAATTATAAATGATAATTATAAGGTAGTCTATCTATCTCTTATAAATTTCGATGATCTTTGGATGGCTTGTCAAGGTCAATATCTCGAATAACTTTATCTATGTATATGTATAACTGTCGTTTGACTGTATTTTCTGACTTATGCAGACGAAAATGTTTCTAATATTATACATAATATTTTTAAGGTTTAGAATAAATTTGAGATCTGTAATTTAATCCAAACTTAACCTATACTTATATGTACATATATTATGTTATTCGAAAAATTCGTAACAAAAGTTAAGATTTAATTAAAATTACTTACTACTATACTAATACTTATGATTTTACGAGACTTTTCTTAATTTTTTCGTCTTTGTCGGACAATTCCTTCAAATAATCTCTACAAGCATTTAAAGTATTTAATTTCGTGCCTGAACTTTCCGAATAAGTTTTGTAAAGATCCAAATAAATAATAACGAAACACGAATATTCGATGCGTGGGATAAATACAAGTGAATACAACTAAAATTTAAAACTTTTTGGATATATGAGGTTCAACATTATCTCACTGAAAAAAGAAACCTGTTTTATTAACGAATTTAAATGTTTCTCCTTAGTCCTCTTTAGTCTCCAATTAAGAATCATATTTGCTCCAACATTTCATTATTTTATAGAAATTTATAATAAAAATGCAAGACATTTTTTGAACAACCCAATAATAAAAATTATTCAATACATTCACCTTGACAGCATATATTTCAAGGTCATTGAAATCGATGAAGTGGATTGCTTTGTAAATAATTATTATAAGTTTTCCATTTTATTCTTCTTTATATCTTTATGAAATTTTCTACATACTGACTATTTTTACTTAATTTATTCATTACAGAAGGAACAAGTATATCAAGTCCAAAGAGATCCGATTACGAATCCTTTAGATCATGTATTTCATTTACGTTCTTATACTTGGACTCTAGCCTCCGATGAAAAATATATATGCGAGATACGTTATCAGCCACTTGTTGCATTTTCTAAAAATGTTGATTATTTCGTAATTATAGATACTAGTATGGAATGTACGAAAATTATTACTTATGGATGTAGTATTGGTATTTATCTTAAAATATGCATTTTGTAATGTATTATGAAATTTTATCTTATCTTACGGTTCTTTGTCTGTTTTTATATACATATTTCATTTCTATATTATAACTTTCGTTTATATATTTGAGCAGGCCCTGAAGTAACTTGTTCAACAACGAAGATCTTTATGAATTGCACAATACAGAAACCAGAAGTTAAAAGGCGAATTAGATTAACAAATAATTCTAAAGTTGCTGCGACCTTTATGTTCAATATAGATGAAAAATGTAAGCCTTTCCAGATAGACGCAAAATACGGCATTATTAATCCTTATTCTCGTAAATATATTACAATTACGTTTACATCGACAAGGGAGGGAAGATACACTTATTACTTGGTTGCTCTAATTTTATATCAAGTAAATTTAAATGAAACCATTGATAATGTGTAATTTTTATGAAGAATTATTTTTTAGAATTATTTCTGAGAATTACTTTTTATTGAAAAATTTATTTAAAATATAGGAACCAATTATTATAGAATTATATGGCTCGTGTAGTGCATTATCTTTTAAGACAGATTCTGATGCTATTACCTATCCTTTGAAAAGTAAAGGTGGTTTCAAGGGATATATGAGAGATGGTACTGATACATTAGGAGATATTCCTCCAATATCTTTATCAAAGCACTATTTCAATCTTGGACAAACTGATGTGGATGTAGAAAATCTTATTCAGACAATACCTCATTCAATATGTCTCACAAATCATAATCATTCCAATTTATTAATTACCTGGGAGAAAGGTAATTTATATATAGTTCATTGTGTTAAATATCTTTTTAATTCATTTGTTGTATTGTAGATACAGATGAAATTTTTAATATAACACCTTCTGAGATGCTAGTTTGTGCACATCAGTCTGCTTTATTTGAACTTACATTTAATCCTAATACAAAAAGTAATCTTTATGGAAGAAAGATCATTTGTTCTGTTCTTTTGGAACATAAAAAGCACTCTACTTTCCCATTTGTTGCATCTGTGACAATGATAGGTATAATACTATGTTATGCAAAAGTTATGATAAAGCCAGTCATGATAAATATTTTGGATGAATTTACATGAAGATGGACAATGAAATATTTAAAAATTAAAATATATCTTAGGTCACTCCTTTCCTGTCATATCGAATGGATGGATTCCACAGTATGAAATACCTCAAACTGTAATAATGCCACCATGTATGCCATCATATCCAGTTTATACCACTTTCCTGATTAAAAGATTTGGACATTTACCTCTCATGTTTCAATTTGTTTCACCATCAGCAAGTCATTTTCTTGTAAAACCTATGCTTGGTGTGATTTATCAGTATGATATACAATCTGTAAATCCATTTGTGAATTCAACTTTGCTGATAACTTTGCTAATAGCTGAATTATTTAATTGCAGGGATTATGAAATAATTGTAGTTGAAATGACACCTAAACCCCAAGATGAACAGATTTATATAGAAAGATGGACAGTATACTTTAATGGGAATATGAAAAATGAATATTACATAGATTTTAAAGGATATGCAGAGAATGCAAATGTTGTTTTTGACAATAATAATGTTTTAAGTTTTCCACCAGTTATGCTAGGTTGTCAACAGTTTCTACAACTTGCAATGCGAAATGTAACGCGTCATACAATAAAGTAAGCTAATTTCTCTCCTAAACAAAATCTATGAAATATACTTTAACATATAGTTATTTATCTATAGGTATCAATTTTACCAGTTGCCACCTGAACTTAATATACAGTACATAAGCGGAGAAATCGATGCAAATGATACTTTACATCAAGAATGTTCCTTTTCTCCAGATGAACCAAATATAGACTATGATTTTGAGGTACAATGTATTTTAAATATTGTAAAAAAGGGAGTACCTATTGGGTCAAAATATAGTATAATTCTATATGTTCGTGGAAGTAGCAAAATTGGGTCATTAAAGGTAAAATTTATGCAACATGACTTTATTACTTAATATGAAGTAAAAATTAAAGATTTCTCTTTTATTCATTTCTTTAGGCAACTCCGAACGAATTATATTTCAAAGAATTAGAATATAACAATACCAAGACATTACATTTTGATCTTATTAATTCTAGTTTAGTAGATATTTATTATAAATTAATTTGTACACATCGTAATTGGCCATTTGGAAATATTGAGGAAGATGTTAAATTACATCCAGCATCAGAAACGATTTTCTCAGGATCACATAAAAGGATTACAGTTTCTATCACTCCACATACAGCAGTATATTATGAATTTGCAATTCGATATTTGATAAGAGTTAATTTTCGATCAGATGCATTAATAGCTAGACAAAAACCAGTGTGGATTTGCAATGTATACTGCATGTGTATTTTGCCTACGTTAAAAGTAAAATTATAATTCATTTGACCATTAGAATTCGGATTTATAAAATAATGTTTATATATGCAATATCTGCATTAGGTGCAGAATATATGTGCTTTTGGATATAATCAGCATTGTACAATTCATATAAGCAAACAATTTTTATGGAAGAGACTGCATGTAAATAGGTATATTTCTTTTCTATTTGTGTTATATAATCGATATTATGTATTACATGATTATTAGTTCTTTTTTAGATTAAACAAAATCTTGGAAAACATATTACCAAAAGAAAGAAAATCCATAAATATTGATCTTTTTCCAATGTTCCAATGCAATAAAGGAGTAATATTGATAGAATGGATTATGATCAATCCTTCATCATTTCCTATTACACTGGCTTTAAAAAGAATCAAAAACTGTTCTTGTAAACCTGTTATAAAGACATTTGGTTATTTGCTTCAGCATACGGAAACTGACTGTATACATACAAATCTTTGTACAGTAAACATGAGATCTAAAATACTACGTGTACGACGTTTTTTATGTCAACTAGCTATTTATACAAGGTGCATTACTAAATTGAATGTATATAAAAGAGTAATATTAATTGATATTTTACAGCCAAAAGAAGAAACTGTGATTGGTATGAAGATACATTATACGTTAATCGGGAAAACGGCAATATGTTGGGAATTAGATATTGGACATGATCGTTATGTTATGTTAAACGTAGTCATTAATTGTTTAGCCGAGTCTCAGTCACAAGATAATTTCTTAAGCACTGCATCCGTAAATTTCGGACGAACTTATTTTGGAAACAAAGGGATAATGTATAGGGTATAATGTCATTTATAATATATATTCCAATAGTGTTCATAAGATATAGTACTTTGTATCAACATAAAAATCATTAGTATAATGAAATTCTAGGTAAATTGGATATACAATATTACAAATAATGATTTACCGTATTCGATAGATATTAATAACATCTGCAAAGTGAATAAAGATTATCATTATGAAGTATTTTCATGTTTAACACAATGTGGTGTTATAAAGACTGGAACAGCTATACCTCTTCTTTTGAAGTTCCAACCAAGAATGTTTGGTAGATATAAGGTATTATAAATTTAATAATTAGAAAATTAAGAAATTAATATTATACCTTTTAGGTAATAGTTCCAATAACTATGGGTGATAAAACAGAAGAATTGACAATGGAAGGAGAGTCAACTTTTGATTTTAGATTAGCCAGTTATGCGAGAACTATACCATCTTATTGTGCTTGTAAAACTTCACTATTTCCTGCATATTTCAGTATTGACTGCATCGATGTGTGGTTTCTACCTATGCATAATGTTATTGTCAGAATGCTTTTAGTTTATAACAATTTAGATTTCGATGCACTCGCTTACGAGTGGATATGGTACTCTTAAAAAATTTTAATGTTTTAAAATCTTCTATCATATTCCTTTAAAATGTTAAATGTCTCTAGTCAAGACATACCAGAGATACTGTACATCGACATATTTCCTCGGAAGGGTATACTGCATCCAAAGGCAGTGCAGAGTTTTAGAATAAAAATCTACACTAAAGGATATCCTTGTCGAATCGATGTTCATATACCTTGTATATTTTTTAACGCTAGTAAAAGGCGAATATATCAAAGAAGCATTATCAAACATGCTATTCTAAGTCAAGAATTAGCAGGACAATTTACCATTACAGAAAAAGGCACTTATGTCCCAGTAAGTAAATAAATAATATTTTGCAATAAACCAATTATGTTATAAATTATTTTACATAGAAACCGTGGATAAAAATACTCAATAAACCTGATGTATACTACAAAACATTGAGTTTACGTTGTAGTGTATGTACTGTAGAAGATGAATCTACAAAAGTCAGTTTATTAAACGAATTAAAAGCTTCTCCAGCAAATGTAATTTACTTTGATGATAGTAAAAAATGCAATGTTATAGACGAGAAAGAGCTTTGTATAGTGAAATTTATTTTAGAAGGCTTACTATGGTAAATGTTGCTTTTCTGCATTTCATTTTTATAAATAATTAATAATGTAATTATTATCGAAATTGGTAAACTATTAGAGTTAATTTTTAGGGATATTGTCAATAGTAAAAGATTTAAAAAAACAGTTGACAGTCTAATTCCTAACAGAAATTTGTATTATACCCAATTTATGATGGATATTTCGGAGCGAAAGAGATTAATACGGAGGTCATATATATCACCGCCATTAACGTTTATTGATTCATTACTAGAGCAAGTAAAAAGAAATAATTTTTATGTATCATATTAATTTTCTATCGAAAAATAACTTAGTTTCTTTTTTTATTAGATGTTATTTTCTATAATACACGATGAATTTTCCTTGAAAACTACGCATTTGATTCCCAATGAAGATATACGGCATCGTAACTATCTTAAAATGTTACCCAAACAAAAAAGAACTGATTTGGAAAATGAGTTAGAAGAAGATAGTAATCTATCAATTTCGATTTTTAAAGATAAATTTTTTATTAATCTTTTTTAAAACTAAAGTAACATTTATTTAAATGACCCTTTTTTAGGACATGATGGATCTAATGATGAAGATAATAACGATGTGGACTACCAATATTTGAGGACTGGATTTAGGGTATCTTTTGTATAATGATTACAAAAAAAATATCTCCATTTATATACAAGTACATAAAGTATTTGGCATCAACTAATTTTGTTCTCAAATGGATCTGGAATGCGTTTAAATACAGCCAAAAATTTATCTCCTTTATTTCTTGTTACCTTTTGACCTTCTTCTGTGCTTTCATATAATTTTTCAACAATAGGATCTTTATCCTTTATAAAAAAAATTTGTAAGATAATGGCTGACTTAATCTTTTAAGAAATAAGTAGCAAAAACTTACCAATTCTTCTTTAGAAACATCATCAAACAATGGATGTTCATGGAAATGTTTCACTATCCATTCATGTAAGTCTTTAACATCCGTCACTGTATATACAATGGCCTTTAAATGATATTCATAGTTACTTATTTACGTAAAGTAAGTATTTAAATAATATTTTAGAAAATACATTACTCCTTCAGTTAACACATAAGCATATTCTGCCAAAAGTGTCTTATTTATAATCCTCCATTTATGCTTGGACTTTTTAAAATGTGGATCTGGATATAAGAAAAACATCTTCTTCAACTACAACAATAAAAATTAATATTTATAAAAGTACAGAATTATAAGTTTAAATATATGACTATACCTTATTATACCTGGCCTTTGTGAAAGTAATTTGGTAGATACTTCATTGCATTAGTCCTCAGACATGCAATGTTTTGGTATTGTCCTGGATTTTGTGATCTTAATGCAGCTATACGATCCATAACATAGTCAGACACTTTTACTCTAATCTCCATTCCAAGAATTAAATTTTCAGGAAACATTAATGACAATGTAACTATTGCAGAAAATATTCTGTTAATACGTTAAGAAACAATGTAATATAAAATTAAAATAATTTTGTACCTAATAGTCCTCCATAGCCACAACCAATATCTACAAACTCAACACATTTCTGTGAAAGATTCTGTTCTTTGGACTCTCCTTCATTAGTTACAAAATAAAACGGATATAATGAACCCCAATTCATTAAATCCGGTTTGATAGGACTGAAATTGTATTCAAGAAAAGAATGAAAAATGTTTATAAATAGACCAATCTTTCTAAGTAATTTTATATTTTTTATGGAAAATAATTACATACTATTCTAAGCAGTGATCCGCTATGGGATTGGAGTGTGCACGTTGTCTGTAATATTTTTTTTGTGGCAATGGTAGTAGTTCTGACATAATAATTGTCAAGAAGCAGTCCACGTGGATAATACAATAACTTAACCTAATCTGACAAAAATCTAACCTAATGTGAACTGTAAAAAGATATATCTACGAAATTTCAAATTGCATTTGTCAAGATGTTATCTATAAATCTTGCAAAATACAATATACATATATAAAGATGAAATAATTATAAAAAAAATATATATATGTATATACAGGGTGGTTGGTAACTGGTGGTACAAGCGGAAAGGGGATGATTCTACGCGAAAAAAGAAGTCGAAAATATAGAATAAAAATTTTTCGTTTGAGGCTTTGTTTTCGAGAAAATCGACTTTGAATTTTCGCTCGGTACACGTGCGGTACGTTATAACGGATCTCACTATAGATCGTTGTCTCGATGGAAAAATATAAAAAAGAAAAAAAAAATTAAAAAGAAAGTTTTTATTCTATATTTCCGACTTATGTTTTCGCGTAAAATCACTCCCTTTCCGCTTGTACCACCAGTTACCAACCACCCTGTATACTATATGTACATACATTAAATTAATATCGAAACTGAAATTAAATTGATAATATAAAATATAAAATTTCTACTTATTAATTGTTACTTAATCATCAGAGAGGAATTTCTTTCTTTGCTATCATTAAAACTAATAAATAACTAAAATGTATATATATTGCCATAGTATTTTAATAAATTAATTTATATATAATACTTCAAGATAAAATAGGCGCTTAGAGGAAAAATAATAGATATTTATTATATCCTTTATTCATAAATTTTGAATTTTATATTGAAGATATGTAAATACGATATATTGATTCTGACTGCGAATCGGATCAAAACCTGACCTAAAATACAATAGATCATTTACTTTTAGATATCGTTTTTTGAATATAAAGTGAGAAATCCATCTGGCGAGAAATTTTTGCACATCATCAAATCATTGTATATCATTGAAATTTCGCTTCACGAAAGGATTTCAAAAAATGGTAGGAATAGTACCGGTCATGATACAAGACAGAATTCTCGGTCACAAGTGGCAACAAAACTTACAAGACAAGTCATAATGCATATTTACATATGTATTATTAATTCTCTAATTCCGTCAATCTTTCCGTATATTTTTGGTCAAGACCATCCTCTTCTAACAGGATCACAGAATAAGTATGGAGTTTTCTGTATACGAAAGAATATTATAAGTTACTAACTTCATTTTATAATTGGATTTGTTTCTAATCCTTTTATTTAGTACGGTTTTAACAAGAACATAAAATGATAGTGGAGGTCATTGACAAGGAGCTAGGATTATAGAATAAGGACAAAAATGATACTGCTATCTTTGTGTCTATTTTATATTTCAATTTGCTTTTAGTATGTTTGTTCTAATGACAACAGGAGCATAGAACTATAGTAGAGGTATTGGACGAGGAGTGGTGATTAGGGAAGAAAGACAGAACATATGAGTTATTATGAAACACTTTAATTTCCTTGAACTTCATAAACTTGTAGGATCTGAATAGGAAAAAGATAGTAACGAAAAAAATATTGGAGAAATTCTTCCAGATTTTCATTTCTTTTTTTCTTTCGAATTTTTTCATTTTCATAATAGCAATGTACATTTGATAGAATTCATTAATGTAAATCTAAAAAGAAATTACAAATGAAATGCTGCGTTAACGCAACTACGGTTTCGTAATAAGTTGTTAAATGAAATTACTTTGGGCAGTGGATTCGTATTCTTTATATATCAAAAGAATTAATTATGTATTCTTACTGAAATTTGAAGATGTAAAGATATACAGAATTCACATGAAATGCAAAAATATATGAAACATCCAAACTACAGTACGCGTTATAATATTCAATAAGTGAAATAAATCTTTGCTTAGATTAGGTTACTTCTAGATCACTTTTTAATTTATGTTTATAAAAATATGAATTTGCTTAAAAATCCGTAGTCTACTTATGAGAATATACATTTTAATTTTCAGATGTTTCTTTTGCGAGAACGATACTATAACTATAGCCTTAACATGGCCATGGCGCACGTGCATGAGAAATCAGCTGTTCGACATTCGCAGCGCCGCCTGGTGGATGACGCTACGTACATCGAATGAAAGACAGCGGAGTAACATTTTCCAGTTCATGATTTTACCGTGTGATTGAACGATTTCCTAGAGTCGTTTAATAGACGCAATGTGAACAACAATTTGATATACAACGTCGTTTGTAATTGACGACGGTGCGGTCCACGTTGTCCAGTAGTAGGATTCGGCTACCTTGGAAGTTATCGTACTCTCTCAGGTGAGGTTAGAATCCTCTCAATAAAAATGCTTTTCATTACTCTCGTACAGTTCGAGATCGCTTCGAAGAAATCGAAACGTGTTAGAAAGTTACAAAAAACAAATCATTCTATCTTTTCTATTTGATGTCCGTTTACAACAACGTGTACTTTGTATATATTCTTGGAATTTAAATACTTCGTCTTTTGGATCGTTCTCGACTTAATCGCCAATTTTCCTAACATTAAAACATTTCAAAAGTTGTAGCTCAATTTATTTTCAACTAAAATTTCATTAATACGTATAATTTGTCTTCAAGCTTTATGCAAAAGTTATTTTTAAAAGTCATTTAACTAAGAGTGTTTTTCTTTGTTAAAACGAGAGTAAGATTGGAATATAAAGATTCGAAGACAGGATTATCTCTTTCTTTTTTTATATTACTGTTTTGGATGCATGTACAGCAATTCTTACGTTTATGTATTGGTACTTAGAACGAATATGAATCTTTTTTGTGGAATTAATTCTTTGATTTCAAGTTCAATTTTTATCGATATGTTTAAAATGATCGATCTTTTATACGATTGCTCCTAGGTTGAGCAACTGCGATTTTATCATACATGACAACGGATATCCGGGAGAATCAATCTTTTGTTTAATTGGTGAGTCTGATCAATAAACTAAGATCATTGTCTGATTGTTGATACCATTAGTACTAATAAGCGTAGCGTAATTACTATAGTAGCATACCTAGCGTAGCGTTTCATGTTATTATTGTAGTCTTAATTCAATGATTCATGTTATTATACTCTGTTGTATAGTCTTCTATGTACAATTGCTTTACTACGCGAAATTATTAATGATTACAGATATTTATGCAGTTTCATATTTTATAAGAATAACAAAATAAAATTTAATATTCTATTTTGCATATTATATACATTAAATTTCTCATAAATGCCCATAGTTATGATGCTGTATAGTACGATCGGTGTACGATGCTTTCAAGTTGTTTTTATTTGTATTTTTATTAGCGATGTGCAGTTCTTTAGGAACGCTAAATTTTCCGAAAAGGAATTAATTAAATAAAATGTTGTTTAGTCTCGGAACGAAAATTTTTTTAATTGAAGATAAATTCCAAGCGTTTGGATGAACGTTACAGAAGTCGTAATAACATGAAAAAGGTTACTGATAGCTAATCATTTAAGCTAGTAGACAGAGATTTGATAAGGTTGTAATTCCTTGGCAGTTTTATTTCTTAAACAATATTAACAATGTATAGGAACTTAAACTCACTTATACATATTATATTTCAACATTCCTTGTATAATCTTTAAAAATGTACGGTGATCGATATTCACACGGAACAAAAATATCATATCATTCACACTTAATCCATATAGATCAATTGTATCCGTATCATTATATGGGATCATTGTTTCATACGTTCTTAGTTGGTCTATTTACTTTCGTTATGGAAGACTATCAGATTCCATCGATTTTTATTGCATTACTGTACTATGAATCATATATTTACACTAACACGTATAAACCGTACATTAATATTTATTAATTAACCCTGCTGTTCTCGTTTTTTCTTCGCGTTTGTATCTTTTCAGGTATTTTCCCCGTGTAATAGAAATTTGAAATTTTATTTACGAAACGCAAGAAATACACAGAAGCTAGTAAAATTATATTGTATACTAAAATCAAATATTCAAAAATTATCTATATTTTAATAATATAATAGATTATAAATTAATAATATAAATTGGAATAGAAAATAAAAGAATATAAATTAATAATAATAATAATAGAAACCGCAGGGTTAAATCATATATAGGGTATCCCAGAGTTCAACGACCAAACTTCATCAATATATATATTCTATGGTTGTAATGAAACAAAAAATATTATATAAATATGGGCTTTTTAAAGCTTTATTAACAGGAGAAGAAGCACGATCTTACTTCCTTTATCTTTTACGCGAAAGCAATTTTAAAATTTAAATTTTAATTTAAGTTTTAGAAATATTGTTCAATATAATATTAAAATATTGCTCGTTTTAATAATTATATCTTTGGTTTTCATAAAAGTTTGCCATTTTTAGACCTAACAGGTTCCTATATTTCATTATGTCATATTAAAATATATATTATTCTTTAATCACAAAATTAAGAATCAAAAGATCGTGTTCTTCTCTTGTAGCTTTCATATACATATATATTACATATACATATATATTTCATATACATATATATACATATACATATACATATATACACATATACATATATATTACATATACATATATATTTCATATACATATATAAAATCAAATATGCACTTCAAATTCCATTTGAAAAACACGAACCCCACGGGTTAATCATCGGAAACATAGTAAAGAGGGAGTACAATGGGCATTGTGTTGTATATTCACGGAAGAACAAAATCGTTGTCGCGAAATCGAAGTCTTATTGCAAACGTCTATTTATTTTCCAATAGGAAGATTAGGTTTCCTCTTGGCAGTTGTGGATCGAATTAGCTCGCTTTCTCATGTAAACATAACTGAATGTAATCCTTCTGTGTCGGAAACGACACTTTCATTACGCGAAAGAGTGTGGCGTCGTCGTGAACATTATCTGGTGTCAACAAGTCTGTCGTTGGTGTTAAATGTTTTTTAATTTAAACTTAACGCGTCATTTAACAATATGAACGCGTGGCTGCCAGATCCACGAATGTGGTTGACATTCGAGTCGGATTCAAGTTGGGTAAATAATAATTTTCGTAGCTAGTTTTAAACGCGTGAAATAATATTATGCGCATGCGCAGTCGACATCATTGCGCGACAATGTAACCGAAATAACTAATTTTTTATTAGCATTATATTATTACATATTAGTTAGAAATTTTTAAACACTTGTAAAATACAACGTACATATTGTTTGGAGCAAAATTTTACAACATTTTAGTAATGGCATAATAGGATACGATAGTATACTATCTCAATAAAATGTGTTTATGCGTAAAATGATGACGGAAGTCGTTTAATTGGAGGGAGACGTATCTAGGTTAGTTTGTATACATAATTTATATTTTTTTAATCAACTTAATGCGTTGAATTTTCAGTGAAATATTAAACGGTGCATAATGAATGAATTTAATTTTATTTCTACAATTACACACCATAAACCGATAAGTAGACAACCATAAACCATTTTCGACACTGATATTGGTTAATCAGTAACCAACAAATATTCTGACCGTCAATAATGATTATTTGTAACCAAAAACACTTTCAGGTCTTCTATAATGATTGTTTCTGAACTATTTAAACTAATTGTAAGATACTTATAATTCCGATACTATCACTCTTTTAATTTAGATTATAACTGTTGTTATCTCTGAATCAAATATATTTTAGTGAACTATTGGACTTAATTGAATAATTACTGTATATTGTCTGAGATGTAGTGGTTCACGAAGATATTATACACTTGAATATATTATATGCAATATATGAAATTTCTCAAAACTTCATTAACACCATAGTGAGACACGAATATCGTGACCATAATAATGTCTGAAACCAATCGGAAAATATATATGGCAGTTACAAGACACTTGGATACACTTAGTGAAAAATTAGTATGAATATTAATCTTAAACAGACAGTTAGTGTTACAGACTCGCAGTAAATATTGTGGCTTATTACTATAATGAATATGTAATTGACCGCTCAAATGTTTTGGTGATCTTTGCGAAATACGCTTTCATTGAATATTTTGCAATTTATATATGTGTTTTCAGACTCGTTTCCAATTTTACCAATTTAATGACGATGGTCGTATCTCGTTACAATGTTAATGAGATTTCAAATTGATTTGTGTAATGTATACATAAAAAGATTCTAAGATTGTCGAATACTTTCGTAAGTCATTGTAAATCATGTTACTGGACAATTTATACGAATATTGTCGTAGTTGTGTTTCATTGACGCAAATTAATGTCTCGACGTTTCGTAGGGAAATAATTCGGGATGCATATATCATGGGACGATCTTCAGAATTTTGTGTACTCAGTTGATTCACAGAACCGTGAAAAATGCAAGAGTATAGCGAGGACTTGGCACGAATTTGCCACGGAACGCCGTAGTATGCGCGACGTACAGTCTTGTTTCATCTGCTGTTATCTGAAAATCCTCTCTGTCCTACTTATTTATATTTATGCATTTGAAACGGCGATCAGGCGAAAGATACGAAGTATCGCTAACGTGACCGAGTTTCGCCTCGAATTTTCAGAGATTCATTGTGATCTTGTTACGTTCTTTCCGTCTCGCCGTTAATTTCCTTTACCTCCCTGAAAAATCGCCGAGAGATCCTATATTCGATAAACAACCAACGAGGAAAAAGTTTATCAATAATAGGTAGTTCTTAAAGAGGATGATGTAGGATTTTCTAGGGATTCTTTAGGGAGGAAATGATAGATGCAATCTTTTAAACCAGGGGTTTTTAGATACAAATTCTGATATTTTCTTACTTAGAATGTTCTGGATAGTTGTATAAGTAGAAGAAAAATGCGTTTCTATTTAAAAGGATTGCATCTACATTTTTTGAGTGCATCATAATATGATTTGAATTTATGAAAACATAGATTTTTCTAATTCGTTCGACTTCCTCTATCTTTAACTAGAAAAGAAATATACTTTGTTGTTGTTATACGAACCACTGTATATAATAATTGCTGGAATTAGAGCCAGTCGACACATATTTTACTTATTTTAGCGAACACTATATGCTGATACATTTAAAGCTAATCTATAATAGTTTGTAAATGGATATGAATCTCTTATAATCCATTAATGAAATCCAGAGTACATAGTGTAGAATGACGAATGCGAAAAACGTGAAGTATTGAATATACAGAATATTGAAAAGAGAAATTCTGAGGATATTAAATATCTTTTCGCCATGTCTCTTTGTTGAAAATATTAAATATTTTTTTCATGGATTGATGATAGGGGATGAAACAAAGTAAAAAAGTTATAATTATATCTTGGTAAATGAATAATTTATAAATATGTTTGCATTGAAAAGAAAATGTTTGTTTAGATCTACGATACTGATTTACCGTTCGGATGGTTGTAGACACTGATTTATGAAAACGTGTCAGTGACGTAGCGTATTACGAACAAAGAAGACTCGCGAGAATGACTCGTTGAAGTTGAAACCCATTGTTAATGGGACAGGAAATTCTGGAAGCATTTTTTGGGTCGATCAAGTAAATATGTAAAAGCTTGCAGATAGTTCTTCGATAAGATGAAACTTTGTTCTCAAGTGGGTATCTGTCCATATATTTTTCTTCCTCTTTATTGATAAAGCACGAACTTGAGAAGAATGTAGCAGCCTACAATTTCAAGAAGTTTCCTCACTAGTCATTTTTCATAATACATAATACGTTCATACTATGAATGAAAAATTAAACATTATCCGGGTTTGTATTCTGAGAATCTCTGAAAAATTTAAAATTATCGGAACGCACTAAGAAAATATGTCTATTTATTTATACAAGTTTCTAAGCATTTTCCTTTTTTAACATCAATATTTTACAATTTAAATTTGATTAGATCCAAAGTCCAGAATTGAAATTAATTAATTCTGTTACAGAGGTCCCTAATTAACATCGAAAACGTTGGTCGTTGTTAGGACATGGCGACGAAGATAATTTAATATTGTCTGCTCTCTGTTCTAGGAAGCTAATGCCGCTTTATTCTATGTATTTCTCTTTTTCCGTTACTCTTCTCACTTTCCATTAGTGTTGAGGAGTAAATAGGGCGAGTCTATTGAATCGCCCACTCTTATTGGATCGTCCTATCAAATCTTCCTTGAACAATTGCTTTCGTATCACCAACAACGCCTATAGATCTGTCCTTGCAGAAGACAAGTGACGGTACAATAGGAAACAGAAAAATCTAATACATACTTCATGGTATATAAACATCAGAAGAGCACATTAAACAGTATATTAGAATAGGATAAGGTCGGTTTATTTAGGTCAACACACTTGAGTCAATTTGAGTCAAGCTAAGTATTGTAATTCGACAAATTTGGTTATGAATAGACTTTGAAGCGATCTACATTTGAAAACAGATTACATATTTAACTCGTTATTAGCGGTGTGATAAATAGCGAAATGTATTGTATACATTAATAGCTCTGACCATAACTTTCTATGAGAATATAACTTGTACGTAACAAAGGGGAAATTTAATTAACGTTAATATTCGCTGTTACGTAATGATTATCATAATTGTGTAGCATGTGTACATAACTATATTTCTGCAAGTAACTTTATCGTTCATTTTACTAGTTTTTACATAATACTTCCTTGTTGATGGAAATAAGATAAATTCAAGATTTAATTTGAAGATGTTGGAGCTTAAGTGATTTAAATAACTCTACCTCATTATGTTATTGAATGTCTCGAAAATCTACTTCATCGGCACCTGCACAGTATATTCAAAGCCACGAAATCTTGGAATTTTCTTTGGAGAGCATCCAGCTTGAAATGACATTGACTTCTACACCATACGCTGCGCAAAATCTGTTATATAATCATAAATAAATGAAGAGATGATTTCACATAGGGATATGCATCATAAATGCGAAGTAAATTTTTGTACAAAGGTCAAGGTTGAAATTGCATTGTAATTTAGTCAATCATTTCAGAAACTCAAGAATTGTGGGATAAAAAAACTTTTCAGATGAAAAAAACATTCTATAATGTCTGATAATTATCGAAAACAGTTATAAGGTTATTTTATTTCATTTTCTTGTTATATATATTACCTTTTGACAACTTGTACAGATTATTTTCTGTGTTATATTAACATAAATGGAAGATTTAAAACTGGAATAGTTTATGAAGTAATTAGCATATCCACCCATTAAAAAGTTTCTAGAAGTTTATACAGATCACAGAAGATTAAAACATTTTCACTGAAAAAAATATGGTTATAGACTTCGTTGGACGTGCTCAGGCATTCTATAGTAATGGAATTTTCGCTGTGAGTGTTCCTAGGCCAAGAGAAAGGATTTTTCCTATAGCCCATTACATAACAAGCAGTGAAATAATGTTTAAAGTTACGTAAACGTACCATTATTGAAAAATGCAGATAACGTACTTATGTGCTGCTTTGTCAAAGTACAAAGCTTACGAAGTTCATAAAAGATATATATATGTATCAATTAAACTTTACAGAGTTCTATCTACTATATCAAAATCTAGCTGAAAGAAGAAATGAGCTTTTCAGAAGCCAAGCTTCTGTCGATTCTAAGTTTTGTTAATTGCTCAATTTCACGATTAATCTTCAATTTTTAAAAGAACAAATGATTTATTCCCGTAAGATTGTTTATCACAAAAGATGGTATAAACTACAACAAATTTCAGAGAAAATTAAAAAGAATGTTACCCGTAATATTATCAGTTTCCTTTATTTTCATTTTTGGAGTTAACGTGGCTTCTGAGAGACTCAAACAGCGATGAATTCCCTATCGTATCCATAATATTAAGAAACAGAATCTAACAGCCTATATTAATTAAACAGAACTGTAGGTGAGATGTTATGTTAATACAAGTTCGGCCCTTAATGGATCACTGCAATAATCCAGAAGAAAAATGGGGAGGGGGTATAAATAAACTTTTACGTAGTTTTCTTATTTACGATATTCTAATTAAACCATTTTCCAGAAATAGGCAAGTATCTACATTGGATTGTTATTGCGTCTCTGGCCGGTAGAGACCTTAAGAATCTATTAAAGAGCAGACAACGATGACATTAGCCGCAGTTGAGTTAGCTGATTCAACAAAGTTACCGTTAACAACTGTGGTCAAACGCAGGGACGAAGACTCTTCCAATTTTAGACGAGCGTATAAATTGCGATATCCATCCTGTCGTCCCACTCTTTGTGTTTCCTCGAGCACAGCTGGCGCACGATAGTAAGAGGATGATCCATCCACGTGGATCGCCCACATGAGTCAGGTATCGTGGCCCGTGGTTAATTGTTCCCGCGTCTCAGTACGCGAAGGATGTTAGCACGATCGAGTTCTGCGTTAGCACTGTCTCCTCTCTGCTCCTCGCAACCTACTTTTTCTACAGTTTCTCTATCATTACGTTTCCTTGTGGATTTCTTTCGCTCCAGTTCGATATTTCCAAAAGTGAACAAGTTGTCGTGAAACTTTTATTATTTAGTCGGTTGTAAAGGAACCGGAGGTGTTATTGTAAAGTGGAGGTCATTTAATTTATTGTGAAAGTAGCTTAAATAATATTTTCTTCACTTTAATGCGGGTATTTTAAACGTGCTTGACATTTTCAAAAGTAAATGAGCGTGTAATTTGGTCATTTAGTTTACTGTAAAGTGGGATCATTTAGATTATCGTACAAGAAATTCGAATTATCTATTCTTCATTTTAATACGCTTGTTTTAACCACGTTGGGTAGTTCTAAAAGTGAACGAGCTTTTTGCGTAACTTCGTTTAATTGCATTTCTTTTAATAGTGATTTAAATCACGTGTTCCTTGTTTGAAGGTGTTTGATATTTCCAAAAGTGAATGAGCTGATCATAAAAGTGGTTTCGTGTGTTTCGATTTTGATTGTCGTTTATATAGGTGACAGTGGTGCTTTTGCGTAATTCCTTATCACATGGATCTAGTTTTATTGTATATTATCGATCTATCTGTCGAATTCTCCTGTGATTACATAAAAGTGCTTTTATTTCTTGCGTCATAAGTTTGGATTTATGCATCATTTTAGCAAAGTTGTTTGATAAGTATGTTACACTTGTTATCGAGGCATAGTAAAAGCGCGTGTTTCAGTGATTATTCGCTAATCGGGAAAGATTAGTCAGTTGTTCGAGCTGTTGATAGCTTCGACGTAATCATTTATTTATCTGGAGATCCTCTGCTTTTTCGCCGACTCCTTTCATTTGTATTGCTTCGTCATTGTATTAGAGTAAATTAGTTCCGTATTACCACTGCTACTTTTTTATTTAACTTAGGCGTTAAACACGTGCCCTTGTTATCTTTATTTCGTATCTCTATTTTTGGATATCTTAAAAATATTCACTTGTCATAAATAGACCGCTGATATTTATGCAAATTCATATCTTTATGAACATGCTCGAAAAGATAGGTACTATATATAAAATTGTGTTACCTATTAAATATTAGATAAAACACTATACCCTGTATATTTTATATATTTTTTCATTTCATGCTCGTTCTGTGTTCTTTCGCGCCTTTACATTTCCCACAAATGTCCAAAAATCCCCACTTTTCACTTATATGTTTTTCCCATATATTTACCTAATTAGTATAATAGATTTTGATCATGTTCCTACTATTTCCAAGCAACTTTCAAGTAAGCAGTGCTCGATGGCCGATCGCTTGGTTCACTATGACGACTTTTCGCCTTGTGGATGCTAATAAATCGCGATCCAACGACGAATAATTCAGTGTGCGTTCGACTGTCGTCACAGTTCACTTGAAGCGAAGGTGCTCCGAAGGTTTTTGAAAATCGGCCGTGTAAAATCTTTTATCGATCGTCTCTCATCACGGAGTGAAATATTTCACTGAACGGAATATCGCTCGTTACGGAACCTTTGAACGATCGTGGACTACGTTTTTGAAGAATTTGCAAAATCGAGCTAAACATCGCACGAAAGTTATTGAAGAACGTTGAACAATAGTTGTATCATGGATGGTGCGGTCACTGGAAAATCAATCGGTGGAAAATTATCATTGAAAAGAGAAAACGTTTTTAAGACTCTTTTAAACGTTTCGAGTTTTGGCATTAAGGTGACGAAAATGCTACGCGCGTTTATTTATAGCGAACATCGATTCATCGTTTGTGGTGTTTGAGTTTGCAAGTGGATAGACGTTGCATTGGTGGAAAATGAATGATCCATTGATATTCGCATTCGGATCAAAAACGATCGATCGAAATACACGCGTGTTCGCGTTCTATGTACATACGTTTTGAAAGCTTCGATAATCGTCGTATTCATAGTGAAGCTCTTTTATCTGCGAAGATTGTCAGAGCGTTCGAGCGAATTTTTATTCTATAATTCATTTTACATTAATTTAACAAACGGTGCGGAAGAAACGCGTATTTTAATTCGATCGGCTTTGATGCGGGAAATAATTTTGTAAAGTATTTTATTATCCTCTGTTCGTTATTTACTCGCTCGCAAGCAAAATTTCTATTACATTATTTAAAAAAAGATTGATAACACAAGTGAGAGTTTGCGAGTTCTTGGATATAATACTGCTTTGAAACTCAATAAAGCAAAATTGATTTAAAAATTTTCAAACTGGCGAGTTCAAGTATATTCAAGTAAAGGATTAACCAGATAAAGGAAGGAGGATCTTCCTCTGAAAGCAAAATTTTTCTCAGAGGTTTCGCGAGCCTTTGTATATAGTGGCTAGAAAATATTTGCACACATCCTCATTTTCCAATGAAATTCTATACATTTAATTTTCACTATTGAGTTTTAGTACTAAGTTTTTGTAATTGTATGAAAGTATACTCTTAAACTATTAATTTATTGATTAATAATTAATTAGTATCCAAACGCTATAATATATATAATGTTGAGCAAATACTTTTTGTAGCCATTGTATAAATATTGAAGCGTAATCGACAATTCTTATCATGGCGAGATATAATAAATCCAAGAATGTCTCAATACATCATTCATTTTTCAACCACCGAGTAAAGCTCGATTGTTTATTTGGGAAGGAAGTTTTACAACGCCCCTGGCCAATATTGTCGAGCCTAATTATTCAAAATGGAAGAATACTAAGTACAGATAATTGTCCTTGAGACTCGCTATATAGCGAAGATTATAAAAGTTGCTATTAACATGTTTTCGAAGAGCGTAGAGCGTTTGTTACCTTGACTCGAATCGTAATTCAGTGCTCGAAACGACCGATGATTCAGAGATACAGTTAATAGGAAACGATAGCGAACATGTTTTTCCATAGTGGTTTTTAAACCGTGCAGTTAACGAAGATAATCGACACTTTTGCATTTACAGAAATAGAGAACACACGGATGAACTACGATCGATAGACAAAGATAAAGTTTCTGTCTATTATGTTTAATATTTTATTGGGAAACATTTAAATTATTTTCTTCTAGAAAAATATCTATCAATTTTACGTTGTTAATACGAGTGTACAAGTTACTCTTTTCTGTACGTAGTTCATTTTTGTTTAGCATTATTTTAAATGCAACTGAAAGGTATTTATTAAGGTCAAAGAGGATAATTATTTTTCAGTTTTATTTGGCTGAGATATGTTCGTAATGATTAAATGAAACAAATAACGTAAGAAATTATTACTATGAAAGAATATTATGAAATATTTGAGGCAAGCACTATGTACGTAACTGTGCTATCTTTATACCTTTTGCAATTATATTCGTATTAAATAGGAAGTAAATATATGCACATACATACTTACCTATACATACGTACGTGCTAGTATCTCTTAAACGATAAATATAGAAAAAATTATCGAGGAAGATATAGCCATGTAAACAAGTAAATGAAAATCATAAAAAGTCAATAAAGAAATAAGTTCGCTTCGTTCAGGGGAAAATTAATTTTACAATTACGGAGGAAAGTCACGTAGCCATCTAGAAAAGTATAAATCATAAAAAAGTAAGGATTAACGAAAGGACCAATCTATCATAATTTTGCAAGTGTCGTAATTTTGAAATAAGTCGAAACAGATTGCAAGAATAGGCTTCACGTTGAGCCAATAGTGTTACGTTCCCTTATATCTTTATTTATATTTCTGTTTTATCAAACACTCGAAAGAAGAGCATGATCGCGAGATAATTGGAAAATTATCCGATAACGTTAGATTATATTATCGATGAAATCGAGGCTCGCGTATCGTTTGCACTCTCTTTTCTCTCTGTAAGAAGATATTTCAGTGAAAGTGCAGGACTTGGTCGCGTACCCGATCAGCTGACCCATTGATTTCCTCTAGAGCGTTCCACGGTTTATTATTACGCTATTCGGTATCGCGATCTCCTCTTTTGATAAGTGCGCGTGGTAAAAGATGTTAAAGATAGAAGTGACTTTCTAAATCCTGCTGTTAATTCGAATATGTATTACCGAGATAAAAACAAAAATACCTGAAATTATTTGGGATGATCTAATGATCAACGACAATTTTATTTGATGTTCTATTCTTAGAAGTCTTTTATTGACAATTTTTATAGGGCGAGAACAAAATTTTGCAAATATAGTCGTACGAAATCGAAGTTAAATTAACTCCATTGAGGATAGCTGATTGGTTTCTGAGAAATGAATTAAAGATAGAAGAAAAGCTGTGCATCTTTCCTGTTATTTGTAAATTTGATTCACCGACCAAGGGGTAATTAAATGTTCGACGAGGTATTGAAAATAAAGCAAAATGATGTCTGGTAACTTTATAGCGTTTATGGACAGAAATTTGTATCTTTATGATTACACTCGGCAGAGAAATTCCTTAGAGATATTCTTAAATGTGGAACACGTTTCTTGACTTGAATTACGAATTCGTGTTAGTAACTTAATTGGACAAATTTGTATATATAATCACGTTAAAACTATAATAAACTAGTTCTAGCAAATGTAAGTACGATATAACGATGCATCGAGTGATAAGGAATCTGTGAAAAGATGAATTATTACGTCGAAAACATCAGCAATTCCTTGATTAATAAATTGAAAAAGTACTTTGGATACGAATTTCTCATCCAAATGTTGGTTCGACGTTTCGCATATATTCGTCAAAGTACCCATTGCATGTGAAATTATTACGTAACAAACAGGAAAGAGAAAGAAAGCTAGTCATTCTATTTAATAAAACTGCTTGTCCGTGAAGCGTGTTATCCAACAACGAAACACTTCTCCCGTTCTTAGTTCATTAACTGGATCGTTTCTCAAGCAGAAACTCGCTTCCTTCAAAGAGTTAGACAATTTAAACATGATTGCCTATATTTGTGATATCGACTTAATTGTAAAAATTAAAAACGGTAAATTTCATGCGAAGTTTAAGAAAAGGACAATTTTTATAACAATTTGTATGGAAAATCGCACGCTCTAGAAATAGTTTCGCTCTAATAATTTCTATTGCAGTAGAAGCTCGTTTATTGGAACGAAATTTTAATTACTATCCGATTAAATAAATTACAGCTAATTGATTCCATTTAATTTCACCTTGAATTTCTGTTACACGAACGAAAAATCATAGATAGCGAGGAAGATCACTGAATTTCTGTTGTATGAACTCTCTTTGTTCCTCGATAGATTCAAATAAACTGAGTTCTGCTGTGTAATAATCTCTAGTATGGTAACGATAATTTTCTATAAAAATGATGGATTAGCACGTAACAATATCTTTCCCAATTAACAGGTTAAATAAAAGTTATGCGAAGCTATTGACAGTAACAATGTTTCTTTTATCGTCTCGAATATAAGCTTTGAACAGTTATTTGATAGCACGCGAAGCTTCTGTGATTAAAAATTCGCGAGTGATACCAAGGAATCTATTCAATGAACGATCAGTTAACAACAAGGACTCGTATCGATAAGTTCGGGTAAAGGAAAGTGAAAATGTCACACCTTCGATTGAAAAGTCGGAAAAGTTCGAATGAATCACCGCCGAATAAGAGCTCGAAGCTGGTGTCGTCCCATGGAGAGTATCGAAGGCTTCAGTTTACTTTACTGAAGGGTCATTTGGAACATCGTTTCCACGAGGTAATGAAACTCCAGAGAAAGGGACTTCAAAGATATTTATGAGATACGTTAGAATAAATTATTGACTGCGGAGTGTCTTCAGTAATTTACAGGAAGAGATTTATTATTTACTTTATAAAATCGAAGTGATAAAGAAGACTCGATGGATCTTTTTGTTCCTCCGATTTTCTCCGAGATTTTGAACAGAAAAATTTACGAGAAAAATTTGTTACAACTATTACGGATTTTCTATGAAACGCTGGTGATACTGTAATTTGAATTCATTTAAGGTAGAATCGTTTATAGAAAGAAAAATTCCTCGTTTTGTAATTTTCGAAGAAATTCGAAAAATATCTATAGAAAATAATATATAGAATGATATATTTAGGAATTAGTGAAATAGAAGTCTGCAAAGAATTTTGATCCATGAATTAATTTAAAGATGTTTCAATATCTGTATGCAGTCATTCTTTCTCTGAGAAACTTCTATTTGTTCGGGAAGTCGAATAATTAAGATCAATTCGAGGCATTATTGCTCTATATAGTTTGATAATGGGGAGTTTGGTGCCTCTTGAAATAGCCACTTCATTATAAAGCGAGCCACCCTGAGACGCTGAGATTTTTTGAGCGCGGGCGACATGGCCAGAAATACATTTGGCCGCTTTGCCTCCTTTCTTGCTGTCCTCTTCGTGGCTTACGTTGTCTAATTAAGCTCCTGAATTCGCGAGAACCTTCTGTTCGATTTTGCAATTCCATCGAAAATCATCTTCATTCACGATCCCGAATCTTTCTAAGAAATTCAATTGAGAGATACAGTGGCTACAAAAGTGTCGGTATATCCTTTATTTCCCAATGAAACATTTTTTTGTCACATTCTATATTTTGTTTCTATAATATCAAATTTTTATGTCATAGAAAGATACTTGAAAATTTAATATACCTAATTAAGTGATCCTCATTAATTAACGTGTAGATGTTATGCTACGACCTTATAGCGTGCAAATACTTTTTGTAGCCATTATATATCCATTTATTGCTATACTAATTTATTGCTATACTAATATTACAATAAATACAGTTTTAATCTATCGTTCTATTTCTTAATAGAGAAATTGTGATTATAATATGGAGACAGCGGTCGTATTTCACTCTGTTACAACTATATAAATATTTAAATGTTACCTGGCAATCAGTCATTCTGAGATATTCAATTCCGAGATCGATACATTTTCGTTTAAATTTCCCGAATCTTATATATGAATGTCCAATGATATAAACAGGATACGTCAAACGTATACGCAAATAATAATCAAGAGCGTACGAGTAAGCATGGATTTTCACAGCATATGACACGCTTGTGTCATACGTTTGACAAGTGGACTAGAATTCGATCAATACCACCCGATGCTGTGGATATTCCGTGACTTAGAACAGTGGTTTTTAGAATAGATCGTCATGCATCAGTCTACGTTCCAAGGAATTCTTGAAACTCATGATTGGAAAATATTTATAGTTGTCTTGTACGTTGTTCTTATTTAATTTATCTTAGATCCATGTTAAAAAAGTTCTACGTGATTATAGTCTCAAGTCAGATAGTTTTCAATGAACAGGTGTAGACTATGAAAATAACAAAGATCTGTCAGAAAGATATTAGTTTAAGTTTTTTATAGTATTTGTGTGTGTGTATGTATGTGTTTATGTGTGTGGTTACAATCTAATCTAAGTGTCTCAGCCATCCACATAGATGAAAAAGGAACACCACATATAGCAACACTAACCCACACCGCATAAACCCAACAGCTTATTTTACACCAATCAAATTTCCCCACGTGGTCTTTGTTCTATGTTATACGTAATCCTGACGAATCCAAATAACCATTCAGAAATAGCTTAAATATAGAGCAGATTTAATCATATGCCACTTCCTGTGTCTTACTAATTTACCCTGCTATTTGTCTATCTCAATTACTCAATCCTGTCCAATTCTAACCGTGGGCCAATGTTCTAACATTTCAATCAAATCTAAGTCAATTTACAAGAATTTATAAATGTGTAGCATTTACAGTGGCTCATGCGATTACTTGAATACTTATTATAGAAAATTTATATATATGTGTACAGTGTTGCGAATAATTATATACTCAAACACTGAATTATTTCTTCAGTATCTCTAAAAAATCGCTGATCATGCCTGGATATATTAAGTGAAATTATTTTTGTAAAGGATAAATTGAACGCCGTAGGATACCAGGAAATGTTACATGGTGAATTATTGCCTTTTATAACTGAAATCTTTCAACGAGACAACGTTGTTGTTCATACAGCCATCACTAGAAAAAAGTGCTTTTAAGATTATAGGATTGTTAGCATGGTCAGCGTTGAGTCCTGATCCGAATTCGATCGAGAAGCTATGGGGAATTTTAAGAAGAAAAATTTGCGATCAGGAGAAGCCTTCTATAGAAAATATCATTGGACTTAAAAAAAGAATAAAATTCGTGTGGGCGGATACTCAAAGCGAAACTTTAAATAAGTTAATAGATATTGCATCTAACAGAATAATAGAAGTAATCAAAAATAAAGACCAACCTACTTAGTATTGAACAAAAACGTAACTAAGTTAACATTGAATTTATATTTTTTCGCAGCCGAAAACACAATTTTAAGAGAAAATCTCATTTTTCCAGACTGCGAGAGAAGGAAATATTTACTTGTTGTATCTTGAGTTTTGTTTTATTTTATAATATCAAATTATATAAACGATTCATTGTTGTTCAAACGAGTCAATTGTTGTTTTAATATCATGAAAAATGTATAAATAGAGTTAAGTGTTTATTATTATTCATGGCACTGTACATCGTATGTGTTATATAAAACATTTTTGAAATTCCATCAGCATTGTAATGAGACTGTCACGATTGATGTATTGATATTGATTGATGTGAATGGTATTTACTGTAAACATATATTTAGTGAAAAATTAATATACAGTAGGAGAAGCCACCTTGAGCATAATAATAACTTGATAGTAAATTAAATATCATTTTATTGAAATTTACTGATATAATACATAACTTATTCTTTAAATTCTGATGCTTGTTTACGCCTTTTCTAGTCCGTACAAAATATATAATCAAACATCTTGTATTTTCTACGTATATTTTCAAACAGGTTCCAAACATTACCAATGTAATCATGATAGTCGAGTCTCATTACAGTGTTAGTGAAATTTCAAAATATTCCAAATAACACATCTAATACATTCGTCATAATATATTCGTATTAATAATAAGGTGTCTACAAATATTCGAATACTTTCACCTTCGAATTTTCTTTCTTGATCAATCATCATCATTTCATTCTTCAATATCGTCTACAGGCGATCAAATACTTTCATCATCTTGTATATAGCTTCGAATCTTCCTTCGAGGTCAATCATCATCGTTCCTTTCTTCGACAACGATTCAATATCGTCTACAGACGATCAAATACTTTCAGATCTTGTATACAGCTATCTTGTCGATCCAACCATCATCATTGCTTTCCTGAACAACAATTCGATATCGTCGAACATCTTCCTATGTGCTAGAATTTTACACGTTAGAGGGGCACGACTATTTTCGTTTACCTTCGACAGTGTGCCAATACACGAAGAACACTGGGTGCGACAGTGATTTACCGTCTCGATTCCCTCGAAGATTGAATCGTGTGCCAGAAGAGTCGAACTTTAACTTCCTCTTTGTAGCACAAAGGGGGTGTGAAGTCGCTGCCAGAGGGAAGATTCACGGTCGACGTGTTCGTTGATTATCGTAGGATTAATCTCAACGCAGAATGCCGTCTGTCATTCACGTGTCAAAGCTCCAAGGATTCCCTCGAGTAATTTTTTTCACGATCAATTTAACGCTTTCGTGGATAACTCGAAATTCTAGGAAGAATTAAAAATTACGTTCGTAATTATGTTGCCACTATGATACTATAGTTGATATTCTACCTTGTAGATGTTTATACTAGTAAACAATCTTGTTGATATTTATAGATATAATCGTGTGTGTTTTTAATAAATAGCAAGCTCTTCTTATTGCTCCAGTCGATGTCAAAGAAAATGATGGACATCGGTCATCATTTATATGCCAGTATTTCGTTGGTTTTGCTCGTAACCGAATCGGTCTTTTCATTTTTAGTGTTGCAAAATGGTCTATTGTATAAATAGTGTATGGTGAATCATTAACGATAATCGTTTAACGATTAGCGAACGATAATAAACGAGTGGTCATAGCATAGCAATATGATGCCAAAAATGCTTTTACGAGATACCTATCGGTTGTGAATGTCATTGGGTGCCAGGACGAATTATTTTACCCAACCTGATCTCAAGCAGCTGTCTTTATAGCTATTATGAAATGTACAATCTTTCTCCAAAGTCTAATTTTGATTAAATGCCTCTGTAGGACGATGAATCTCATTTATCAAGTTTGTAGTTTAGGATCAGATGATATCAGAACACCATAATATTATTGAAGATATGTAACACATTAAAAACATTTACATAAATCCTATACATCAGAGAAATATTTAGAATTTAATGCTGGAAATTGTAATACGAAATGCATGATCAAATCATGGATATGTAACATTCATATTCATAGACAGAAGTTTTTAAAATTTAATACTGAAAACTGTAACGCAACATTTATGATCAATCACGAACATGAGACATTCATATTCACGGATAGAATTATATCACTGTCGCGCTTACTCTTTCATTCGATATTCCGCGAATCAATTTCCTTTGGATATCCGTTATTTTTTATTCGATATCATATCTATTACGAACGACCACATTTTTATCGCGAAATTATCAGTAACAGCTGCCACAAGGTAGCGATAATTGACCATTTATTTGATTCACTTCGGTTTTTAAAATTATTTTTCAGTAAGCGATAAGATGCGATGCTCTTGCGTTGTGCCAAGTAAAATTTCTATTTATTGTAATTCGCCTGCGGGTTTTTATGTGTTCACGCGGATTTTAAACAACGTAATGTACATAATCTGCAGGAACACATAAAATATCCAGAAATTAGAACCCGTTATAATATTTATGTTTGTCGATGTTATATTATATGTGATATATGTTATATTTGGATGAAACAATTTTTTATATAGGTCTTATAGCTTTAATTATATTTGTAGAAATATCAGTTTGCATAAACATCCGCATGTTTCGCTCTATGAATATAAATTTCCTAAAATACTTAGCTCTTTAAATATAAATTAAATTAATTGTCGAGTCGTTATTGTTATCATATCCAATCGTTATTTACTCAATCTTACGACGAAAGATTGCACGAAAAGAATCTTTTTCTTTTTCTGTCGAAGAATTGTGACAAAATAAGAAACAGAAAAATATTTTCCCTTAGGATGAATTTGAAAATATGATATCGACGAGTGGAAGATTTTTTAATTGAGAAAAAAATACCAATAGCATAATTTGTTTCATATTACGAAATACTTTCGATGGTACAACGCGTTGTCGATAAGATAAGATCAATAATTGTCTCTGTTTATACGTATAGAACAGTATGATAAGTGTCGTGCAGAGTGTACAAGGTATGAAATATTGTTGTACCTCGTGAAAACAATATTAAATGGTCAGTTCGATCGGCGATCAATCGAGCTAACTCGTAGCACCAGTTTGAGCGATTAAAGATTCTTTTAAGTGCTCGAAAAACGAATGACGATCAGTGAAAACTAGTGAATTACGCGTCGAAGTAATAAACCACATGTTAGCTTCAATTTTCTGCTGGAAAACACCGGTAACTCCATTAAGTTTGTGTAACGAGTAACAGAGGCAACGATCCAACAACTCGTGTACAGCGATCGGTCAAACAAAATCTAAGTTGAATGTAACGGGAGCAGAACATGGATATGAGAACACATCAACGATATAATGAGAAAAATATCACGCTGTAGTTCACTGATACGTATTAAATTTAGAATTATAATGTTTTTCACCAGAGAAGTCAGTGTCGATTAATTAAAATAGAAGAATATTAAAATTTAGAAAGAAAGAGAATCACTACGTTCCTTTATAACAAGAACAATTTTTATATTAAATCTTTTATAAGAAGAAAAAAGACATTTTCTTATCAAAACCAAAGTCAAATGCTTTCTACCAAAATTCCATAAAATAAAATTGATTTCTGTGGATAACAGAGATCATAAAACCAGCAAATAGCATAAAACAAGAATTTTCCATAAGAAGGAGAAAATTTAAACGAATCGTAAGTGAAACAAGAAATTTTATATCAGTTTCAAATTCTAATATCTCTCAACCAAATGTTCGATAGCCAATTTCTACAAAATAATACCAATTTCTCTAGATAGTGCAGAAAGCAAAATTACCAAATAGGAAAAAGAATCCTCACATCAAGGAATCAAAGATCTTTGAAAAAAGCTTATATAAGAAGATAAGTGAATCTTACCTCAACACTCTATGTCCAATTTTCACTAAAATAATACAGAATTCTTACAGAAAATACAGAAGACAATTTTCTCGAACAACTATATACATTTTAAAACGCAGCTAAGGATCAATATACTTTCTCGAAGATTTAATTTAACACGAATTCTTACAGAAAATATAGAGAGCTATTATCTCGAACAATTAAACACACTTTTAAAACGCAATTGAAGATCAACATTTCCCCTCGAAGATTCGATTCGCTGTGTATCTCCGGCGTTATTTGTTCTATTTGCTTCTCGAATACTTTTCATAGATACGAAGAACGAAATGATGAGGGGCAATGAACGTCTACTCGAGCAGAGCTTTTGTTTGGTATCGTTGCTTCCAGATACATTCCTTAGGAGCTGTCTCGATAAGATCATCTGAAAATTGGCTGAAATTAGACTGTTCAGATAAAACGAAGATTATGGTATAAATATTGGCACTTATCGCTGCAAGTTAACTGGCTGACTCTTAATTAACCAACATACTTTGGATCAATTCGTGTTGATTTGTGCACCAGCCCGGCCTATATAAGAATATCGTGGAATAAACTGTGAATTCTTGTAAAAACTTTTATTAAAACACGAAGTTTTTCCAACAGTGGCAACTTGAAATTGAAACTTTGACTTTTTGATTTTTATTTGGAATCTCCCAAAAATTCCCTCTAGAAATAAACTTCATTTTCTGTTTTGCTTTTTATCGGTGATTGATTGCAATAAAATAGAGTGAATTTGTTGCGTAAAAGTATTTTTACCGTTGACGTAAGTACGTTTAGCTTTTTGCTGTTCCGTTGGAAGACGTGATAAATTGTGCTAACGAGAAATAAATCACTGGAATTGTGTAATTCGCGACACGTGCGAAACATTCCGTAAACGTAAACGTCGGATTCGTGACTAATTTTCTTGTTTGTGAAAGAATGCACGTGATCCGAGTGTCACGCGAAAGGTATTATTGGTTTTTCGTTGGTTCTAAAGGAGGACTTGAAAAAGACAAATTTTTATAGGAACCTTCGGCAGTGAAAATGCCAGAAGAAATTGTTTTTTAACGAATCATACAGGAAGATTTAAAAGAGAATATTTTTTATAAAATTCTTCTATGACAGAAGTACCTGAATAAAACCGGACTTTTGTTAAGTGTAGAGGAAAACTTTGAGAGGAGAATATTTCTAATGGAAAGTTTTGGTGGTATCAGAATAAAGTTGGTTTTTTTAAATGGAAAACTTTGATGATATCAGAATTAGGTCAATGGAGAACCAGAACAGAATGACAAAATACAGAAACACTTAAAAATTATCAAATTATCTAAAATTAAAATTAAAGGAGAAGAAGCAGAATTTGGAGAAAATGGAAATAAATTTTGCAGAGTGGATCGAGCTACAAAATTAAAAGCGTACAGTAGCACGAAACGACGAGTGCATCAGTGTTTCAATAATGACTTCATCAACCTAGTATTGATTATTATTGTTAGAATATGAGAGTATTTCTCGATATTGACCTGGTTTCGATGGAATACGTAAATGAGAGGAGTAACTTATTGGGTTCTAATCGAGAAAATGTATCATCCTTTCCATCTCTGGTGCCACAGGGATTGGCTCACAGTTACGGATCTCTTTCATCTTGTCAACAAGTGATACATTCGATCTGGAACAGAAGCAAACAGGTACAGACAGAACTCGGTTAAAATGCAATTTAATTAACAAATAAATAGCGCTAATTGTTTCGTTAACTTTATCGATCTTTCAAAGAAAAGACTGTTCTTTCTATATTATAATACATGTACTACATCAATAACGCAACTATAATAAAAATTTCTAGTTGCAAGATGTGTTCTTGGAAAAATATTAACAAACGCAGAATATTTATATTGAAATTTCTCGTTAAAAAAATGATTATTTTATTACAACACATTAATGACCTTTTTGTCAAATAATTTAATTTACATTTTGAGAACTAAATATTTTGAAAAATGTATATTTCCAAGATCGAGTATTTTAGGAAATTTATATTTAAGGAGGAAACAATGCGGTCGTTTATATAAATTCACATTTTTGCAGCAGGGACAAGACAATTTTGTAAAGATGAAATAAAAAATGATCGAATTGTGTTTTATATTTAATGAAATATAAAATACTAGATATTGGCTGGCAATTGCATTAATAATTTATCAATCAGAAATTGAGGTCTAAAATTCAGTTTTGGCTAACTTTTACTGATATTTAACAGGCAAATTTCAATCAATTCTAACCAAGAAGATTTCGAACATTGTCTGCGATCTCTGCCAAAATTTTAAGAGATAAATATCGTATTTTATGTCCTTTATTTATATCCACTTTATAGGTTGAATATTATGCTTGCTTCATAACTGTGAGAAACCCACAGGTGGGTTAGATCGAATTAAATGAAAGTATTTTGTCGGTTTGTTCGTTTGCCTGGTTATCGTGCCAACATTTTTCAACGTGACTCGAAAGATAAATGATACATGCAACAGAGTCTTTAAAGATATGTTTTCCTTACACTTTGGATCGCATTTGGTCATTTCAATGAACATAATATATTCGTCGATGAATTTAGAACGACTAATTGCAGGATATAATACCTATCGAAGTTGTATTAAATTGCAGCTATACAAATTTTCACGAACTGTTAGTAGTTTGTAAAGTAAACTAAAATAACTGATTACATAATGGATAGATAAACGAATAATGAGGATTAAAGTAGTTTGAGGATTACGTATGCTCTCGTATCTAAATGTTTGCAGCTGTATGTTCTATTATTCCGATAAACGCTACCAAGTATTTATCCTCGTGGCTCACCAGTCGATGACGTTCGAATATTTTAGTTCTTCGTAACTTCTAGAGTTCTTCTGATCGATTCACAATCGATTAGAGGAAACGGGAATAAATAATTTATCTATGGCATCTGCTACTAGACATGTATACGTCAAATCGATCGTATATTTATTAAAATAAATGGTAATAGTCACTTTTTTCTTCAACTAAATTACTTTAACTTAGTGTGGATTATCTGAAAGTTATATAAATCAAAGAATTTAATAGATATAGTAGTATATTTAGTAATATATAATTTCAGTGTACTTATAGACATTCTTTTATCTTAATTAAAACTCCAGTTATCATTAAGTATTACGTAATTGCGTGCAAGTTTTAATATAAGTAATTAGTGGTATTAAGTAGAACGTAGACCGGCACTGTCTGACTAACTACTGTCTGACACTACTTCCCACTCTGCTATCCATTATACTATAATTCGTATTTCAATCGTATTATTATCCATCGTCGGTTTTCATATTTTTCTTCTTTTTCTCTTAAAAGAGGTTAGTTAAAATTTGTACAGTATACTCGAACCTTTCATAGCAATCAATTCATTTATAATTGTATTCTTCAAAAGAATACAGAACACAAGACATATCATGTACGAGATCTAAACAGTAAAATCCGACCAATCAAACTTTAATGACCGTAACATTTATATTTATAAGGATTTATATATTTATAATTTTATTTATCAAAAGAATAAACAAAAAACAAAACGTATGGAAGACCTGAATACTAGAAATCGATCATCTAATCATCTAGTCGAATGTAGCGATTTAAAAATATTTTTCAAAATTCTTCCATATATTAAGAATGAAATAATAAAATGTCTCTGTTGTCATACCATGTTCAAGGAAGAAGATCGTCGACGAAACGATCGTAGCTCGTTTTCTCCGCTTCTTTTTATAAGCCCTTGCAAACAACTTGTCGGTACACAATTGATTAGTCTCTTGAATGCTTTAATTGGCCCAAGTGCCGCGAGTAGCGCAAGGACGCGCGGTCTTCTCGCCTAGCTCTATCGAGTAAAAATAATTTTCTAGTTAGAAGTCTGCGAAAATATAATTATTAGCGATCTAAAAATTAACCGATTTTAATTTCTAATCATCTTTTTTTTTCGGAGCTTACATCGTCGGCATACATTAAAGAAAAAAGGCAGTGTGTAATGGTTGCTGCACCTATCGCGAAATGCAAACGAATAAAAGATTGTTTGTCGAATTTATGCATTGTTAACAGTGCATCGTCATTATTTAAGCGCGTAAAGCTATACCTTATCGCGAAGTAATAAATTGCACACGGAGATCCATATTGTTTAATTTGTTGCATTGATCCACCTTTTAATTCTTTTATGTATTTTATGCATATTTTATTTCTGACTCGTTCTTTCATCTAAAGGCATTCGTTTATTAATAAAATATAAAGCAATTAATTTTTTTCTTTACAATATAAATTCTTTGAAGATTTACATTGTTATAATTGCGTTATAATTGACATTATTATAATAATATTATAGTGCTATTATTATAATAATACTAAGAATTTGAGAAGAAGTTGTCTCCTAATTACTTATTGTGTAACATGTTTAATCTGGTTTTTAAATTTTTATTATCTATTATAAAATCTATTTGAAAATTTTATTTCAATGTTTATCATTAAATCCGGTTTCACAATTCTTAATGCGTTAACATATAATTCCATAATTTCTCCAAATACAGTAAACAATTTTGAAGTTTTCGATTCACATGGCGCAAAATTATAGAAAAGCAGCTCAAAAATCTACCTGATGATTTTCTGTGTATCTTTTTATTTGAGAAAAGATTGTAACATACGAAAAACGTATAAACAGGTCTCAGACTAATTTATCGCGAAAGTACAATAAACAGCTTAGCTTGCTGATCGTTTAGTACCGTTTTTAAAATACTATAAAGCGATAACATATTCTAAATATAAAAGAACGAAGACACGGCAATAAGACATTCCGGAAGATAATAAAATAAGAAAATAATTTATTTGTGACGCATTATTTACTCATTTATACCGATACTCAATATGTACCTTGATAGTACAACTACATTTGATCAAACCGTACAACCGTGTTCTATACAAATACAAACACTATGCTATTAAATGACGACATTATGCGTTGAAGAATTAAAAAATTCTCTTATGATAAATTATCTAGCAATTGCCAACTTATTCTTTTTCTCGCAAAAATACGATAATTTCTATAATTATATAGCTTTTATATACACAATAATTGGTTATATATATATATACAGAGTCCGATCGAATCACATGTAAAAGCGGACACGACGTGACTCCTTGCGGATGAATAAGAAAAAAATACAGAATAAAATCTTTTTATTCTCGACTTAGTTATCGAGAAAGCGGAGTTTGAAAATTTTTTCAAGTGTACTTAATCATCACTGATTTTGGACTGGGCAGAACTAAATAATCGGCAGGAGATTATTCTACATGCAAAAAAAAGGTCGAAAATGTAGAATAAAATCTTTCCGTCTAAGGCTTTATTTCCAAGAAAATAGAGTTTAAACATGTTTAGTTAAGAATCGGCCTAATACGCGCGTATGATAAATTTCCAAATTTAATTTTCTCTGAAACAAAGCGACTTGTGAAAAAATTTGATTCTACATTTTCGACTTTCTTTTACAGATCTTTTACACGTTATTCGATCAGTTCCTGTATATTTCTAACGTATTGGAAGTCGATTAAAAATTTGTAGGGTCAGACAGAACATCTATCGGAAGTCTATCGGATCTTTTGAAGATCATAATCTATAAAATTTAGGTAGCTATGAAATTTACAGACAATATTCTTTCTATGATATCTAAATAGGATTAATCTCGATGCCCGTGAACATACACAACTCTTCAGTCGTTAACAACTCTAACCAATATCAACCAATATGTAAATATTAACTCGGAGAAGCTAATTTACAATTAATATTACCCTAGATTGCACCAAATATTAATCAAAAAGTGCCAAACACAAAATCTCCTCATCAGGAATCAAGACCTTCGTTATCAGTTTAAACATCAACCTTCCGTTTATCGTAACATAATCAATTGAAATTTACGACGGCCAGTCGTAAGTCGTAAGCCACTAAATCAACTTACCAGTTACGTCATAGTGATGTCTTGTGTCCTCAACCCAACGATCATGCGTCATAGTACTCTTCCAACAGACTTGGCGATCGTTCCTCCTGGATGTTCTTCTCCAATTACGAGTTCCTCCTTGCTTCGTTTCGCGATAATATCTAATAAACGAGCTATTCAAATGGATTATCTTTACATTTCGAAAATTTTAGTACCAAGGCACTCGATTGATATAATTTTATCAATTTCTTTTACTTTTTGTTCCACGGTGTTAATTTGGCTCAAATAAACGGCTCAAATATTTGCGAGCTCGTGACGCACGAACCATAGAAATTCGTGAGATCCCTTGGGAACATAAAAATCGGCAAAAGTCGGTTTTGCTTCAAATGGCACGGATTTTATTCATGCTTTTTCGAGAGCAAATAGTAAGAATAACGATTTCAATGAAACACAACTGTGGAGAGAGCACACAGTGTTACACACGATCTCGCACGACTGTGTACCCGACTTTAAAGATCCCACGTCGGATATATAAATGTCGCACGATTTGCCAGACGATGGTCTTAAACGATCTGCTGGCGTCGCAGATCGCACGCGTTCCGCTAGATCTGGCTAGATCCGCGTGCATTAGATATACTTATACATAAAGAGAGAGATAAACGCGTTTGTCATTGGTTCCGAGAGCCCTTGGTGCTGAACGAGGTGAAGAAAAGGAAGAGGCAGGAAGAAAGGGATGACTACGAAAAATTTGGAAAGGATGCTCAGGCTCGCTAACTTGTCGCGGGTCGGTTTTTTACGGTATTGAATGTGGTTTTAAGTGGATCGAGTGGAGAATAGTTGTCGAATTCTAACTATTCTGAGAATAGTTTATGAATTCTTCCTTCTCCATTTTATTTAGAATTATATAGAATTTAAGTTGCAGTTGATGAAATGGAAGATAATTCGTCCTATTTCTGTTCTAATCTAGTCTATTTTGAATTTTCTAGAATCTGAATTGTAGTTGGTGAAATGCAAGATATGTAATTCCTTTTATTTTGGACACTGTAGAGTTTTACCAAAGTTAATGAGATTGGGTATATTTTATTGCATCGTGAATTCTGTAGGGTTTTATTTTCATTCGTTGATGTCGATGAGATAGAGCATATTTTATTGTATTTTTGTGATGTTATAAAATGTGTCCTTTATGATTTAACGTGGATGAAACGAAAGCTACTTTATTGTGCTTTGGATTCTACAGAATCTAACTTTCATAATTTAAAATTGAGGATATTTCATCGTATATTGAATTCTGCAGGATTCGTCTTTTATAATATATGGTAGATTATAGATTTTGATAGAATTGTAGAGATTGATAAAATGTAGAGTACTTGATCGTATTAAACTTTCCTTCATTGTCCTTGAAACAGCGACTCATTTTACGACCTTATTTCTCGGCCGATTTTATGATACTTCGTCATTTCAACGAAATAGTTTCATAAAGTAGGATCTTATAAAAATTTACGACTCATCTCGATAATATAAATCGTTAGAATTCTTATTCCCAGAATGCATATCTCTAATAATGTCTTGCAGCGACATCAGCAACGTCACATACGAAGCAAAAGTTCTTAGAACGTAGGACATCAATTATTTAGTATTTTTCAAAATCAAAATCTCCCAATGACTTTCCGTCCGAACTGTTTGTTTCTATTGTTCTCTTATTTTTATTTTTACTTCGTATCTTTATTATCGAGCGCGCTGCAATCGTGATAATTTCTATCCACACGACACTCCAATATTTTTAAAAATATTCACGCTTTCTCTTATCAACGCGATTCGATAAAAAAAGAATTATAGGTCAAAGACATCATACCAATATTTGAACAAATGGCCAAATGTTTAAAAATATCAATATCTCAAACAGCCACAGTGTTTGTTTTCGAAAAGAAAGAAAGGAATCTCGTAAATTTTCCACGTATTTATCCATAGTAAGCTTTATCTTGGAGTATCGTCGAAGCACGTTGAGGAAAGAATGCAATGCGGAAGGCCAAAGACGATCGTGTCAAGATCGCGACACATCATTTTCGAATCAGCATCGAGGAAGAAGGGGACGAAGAGAACAAAGAAGCGGAAGATGCAGCTAGAGAAACCGATAGAAGATTCTCCATTACGATTGAAGCGGATTCTGGTATAGTAGTTGCGTCGCAAGAATCACAAGCGCAAGATCTTGCAATCGACAGAGAAGAACGTTCGTTTGCAAACGACCAAACAGTCAATGAAATTTTATCAGAAGAATTTGTAGAAAGAACTTGGAACGAGCAGGAAAAGAAAGCGCAAAGCTTCGAATCTAAATCGTCGAAAAATTCTGGTGACTCAAAGGGACGATCTTCAAAAGGATCGGTCGGCCAACAACAAATTTTGTTAGAGAAATTTGTCGATAGAACTTTGAACGAACAGGGAAGAGAGGTACGACGCTTCGAGTTCAAAACTTCGAAAGATTCCGATGGATCAGATAGTGGACCTTCCCAAGAAATTAGTGCGAGAGAATCGATTAGCCAGAAGAAGAGGATCGATAAATTCGCAAACGGTGAAAATTTGTCGGATGATTCGCAAAATTGCGGGAAGATTGAAAAGACGCAAAGCGATAATTGGAAAAGTGAAACACGATTTTCGGTTGCTTCCAGCGAAATTCCTAACGAAAATTATGAAATCTCCGCTTCCGGAAGCTCGCCACGATCGATCAGTGCGGACCAAAACTTCGGCGTTCTCTGCTCGAAGTTTAAGTATATCATCAACGAAAGTTCCTACGAGAATGTAGATTTGACAAAGAAATTGGAGCGCGGCTCGACCTCGAGTTTTCTTCCTTTCGAAACATCGAATCCTTCAGAACTTAAACGCCATAGATCTCTTTCTTCGTACGAAACCTACAAATCTTCCAATTTAAATACTTCCATGCAACGCAAGAGAAGTCTTCAAGATCCTACAGGCGTAACATTACAAAATTTACGATTACTCGATCAACCAAGAGAAAAAGCACAATCGGTGACAGCTGCAGAAATTCAGGAGACTTCGCAGATTCTTACTCATCCAAATATCGAATCCATTAAAGCAGTTCCTCCGTCGGCAGTCTCTCCTCTTCTAATCAGACGTTATTACAAAGTCATGTCCGCGTTTTCCAATAATTCCTCCAGTCTGGAAAACACCTATCCATCCAAAATGTTAGAAGATCCTCTTCAAACTCGACAAGACTCCATCAAGACTTCGAAAAATGATGTAAATTGTACAAATTCAGAAGAAGGAGGCAGTCTGAGGAATACGCAAAGAAGATTGACATTGCCTGCTATAAACATAGATCTAGATTCGGGAGAAAAATCAGGAACTGCCAACTATCAAAATGTTTTGTCAGGAACCAGCGTTAATCCTATTAGAAGGTCCAGCATAGCAAATGCTGCGATTTGTTCGAGTTTAGCTCCCAGCTTGGCCAGCGCTTATCCAGGTGTTCCAAACTGTTTATTGCCCACGTCGAATGGAAGCGAACTGTCGAACATTTCGTCTATCAGCGAACAGATACCAGAAAGAAGCGGAGTAACCGGGTTGAAGATGAAGTTACCATTCCTTCGACTTCATATACCTGGGCCGCAACCAATTTCAGGCGAGGAAGAAGGCGAAGAGGAGGATCCGAACCATCATTCGCATCATCATCATCATCACCATCATCATCACCACGTGTTCCCGTATTTTCATGTACCCACATTCACGTTCACCGCGCCAGCCACCGATGGTGAACCTGGCCGGAAGTTCAACTTTGGAATTCGCAGACACTCGCAAACGGTTAGTCGCTGTCTTAGATCGCCGTTTTACTCTGGTTTTCTTTTCGAGTGTTTTTACTAGGAAAGAAGAACCGCTTCCATTAATAAGAAGCTGTGTGATCGTAGACTTTTTCAAGATTAGATCAGCTGGTTTTACTTTTTGAATGTTTTTATCAAGCAAGAGGAACCGCTTTCATTAATAAGAAGCTGTTTCAGCACTTTCTTGACGTTTTAACATTTACGCTTACTACTGTGTATGATATTAATCCACCTTATTTGAAAATCTAGTTTGTTTAGAAGGAGGAAAGGTTTTTAACGGTTTTAAATCAATGCCACAAATGGAAATACGACACGAACGTTTGAAAAGGAGATGCCAGGATGGATTCGTCGTTAAGTAATGTTTGAAAGAAGGATTACGATAGTCACAAGATTTCTCAGGATCGTCTTATTGTTTTAACATTTCCAGTTACTACTGTGTGTGAGTTTAATCTAATTTTGGCGTCTAATTTTATTTTGAGAAAGTTTTTTAATAATTTTAAAGTAATGATGGGAATAGAAATGTGACACGAATGCTTTAAGAGCAGATACTAGGATGAATAATTCGTTGTTGAACAATGTCTGAAAGAGGGTTTACAGTGATCGTATTTGTTGTGTCTCTGTTATCTGTGTATATCCTTATAGAATTATATGTTTTACATCTTTTACGGTGAATGAAGATATCAAGGACAGATACTTGGATATTTTTTTATAAATATTTAATGTAAAAGATTTAACGGAATATCGTGCTTGGTCGAGTCAATCGTTTTTTGGATTTAGATGTTTCTTATATTTCTTTTTTTGCCAATTATTTTGTTTTTCTTTTTTGACACTTCTTTTTAATTAAATTCAGAAGAAATATCTAATCGTTGGCTACAGATAATCTGAAGCATTCGTTGAAATAAAATAATTGAACAGGAATAAAATATTCCAGTGGCAATGATACTCATGTTAGATCGTGAAATTTCAAGGAAGGATACTTTAACAATGTCACGGTCAATGGTCATTAATCATCGTTCCTGGTAGTAGTTTTGGTATCTTTGAATGGCTTGTAATCTCGTTAATTCTATTACTCGTCGCTGTATCGCTCATTTCAAACTTTTGGCACAGTAATGAACATAAATTTCTTGTAACGTCTTTGATGAAGTGATAATTAATGACTATCGCGTGATTCCAGTTTGTGTTTTATTTTATCGAAACTTTTCAAACGTTCTCGTTACGTTTAACCAGTTCAACAACATTTATTTGAAAATTTTGCGATTTATGCTTGCCACAAGCTTCACTATGTATGTCATAGTAATTAAGAATTTAAAGAAAGATTACAATTTTGAAATCTTCGCATCTACTTAAGAAATTCTTTGGTTAAAAATTTCATCGAAGTAAAGAACACTACTATTCATATTTGTAGGATTAATTTTAGATTAATTATAAAATTAATAGGTGATTCAATATAAGCACAAGTGGAGAAGTAATTCCACGCTTTTGTACTGTATATATTTACAAGATTTCGTTGAATGTATTATCCTTGCTCGTTTAATTTATTATAGCCAATTCAGATAAAACGCAAGGTCTGAATTACTATAAAGATTTAGGTAGCAACTACGATAGAACTTCATTTATTGCAGTGAAATTTTAGTTAGTACTCGATTAACTGAATTTCTGCTAGTTAAATTTATTTATCCGAACGTACTCCTATTATGCGAACGAAAAATAATATTTGTCCTCCGAAAAATTCACATAAATGGAATTCTACTGTATTGTAGAACTAATATATTAACCAAGATCTCAAACTTCTCAAGTTTTTGGACAGTAAAAGAGTAAATATTTCGGAGGTAACGTTTCTTTATTTTTAATTCTTTTTGTTTTTTAATGATATTTGATTGAATAGCACGCAAGTTATAAAACGTAAGTTGTATAATAGGATTTCGTTGAACTTAAAATTGATCTCGCCTGTACGTATTCATAACGATATCGCATTCGTCCGTGAGTAAACGGAATTAACATTGAGAACATGATGTAAAACACGAGTCACGGTGTTTTATCAGGGTAGATGGATCCAATACTGGTCTACGTTCCAACGATTAAGGTGATTCGCATGGATTGATCAAACTTATGTGTGAATGGAAATGTATATGTACGTATCTTACCAAAGCCGCATTAACAGCTTATTATTTTTACTATCTTAAAAAAGTTAAACAATTTTTTAAGGTCCCGGCTTTTAAGGTGTTGTTATACATTTTCTTTTTACCACCATTTCACGACTATTAACATTCGACTGTTGCGAAATAATAATTACTTCGAATCTATTTTCGATCAGAAAGCAAATCATCGTTGATAATATTATTAATCGTATCAAGGCTTGAAGTGTTAATTTCATGGCGTATTAATAGCGCGATTAACAGCCGTGCAAACAAGCTCCAGGTTTGATGTATGTATCTACTATGTTTTTCGCACGCAGAAGATGCTAATTTTCTGCAAAAATACAATTTGTGCGCTTCGAGTTTTGAAAATGTTATTGCTAGATAAATATTTAACATAAAATATATAAATAAACCTAAATGAATAGGTATATGTATCAGGATATTTTTAGGATATTTTTGTTGAAATTTTATTTCTATCCCGGAGCAAAGATTTGAGATTTTACATGATTGTCGTCTAATATTAGGTTGTCCGAAAAGTTTCTTTCGTTTATAAGATGATAATAGATGAACAGCAATTTCTGTTTTATATTATTTTATTGAATTAGGTATGATCCATTTCATTATATTTCTATTATTATATTCGCGCATAATTCAATAAACTAATATGATACAAAAATCATTGTGCGTCTATTATTTCCTTATAAAACGAAAGAAACTTTTCGGACAACCTAATACTATTGTGCAACGACGTTCGTGGTTCCATTTGTATCTTATCCTTTCTACTTGCGTTTCAATTTCTACCGGTTCTGATTCATTCGTTATCGCTGACCCATATTCTATTGTGCTCCTCTGAAATATGTACAAGCTCTACGTATACCTGCCGCGCCCATGCATCGTGAAAATTATTTACAACCGCATGTTTTCTCCAATCGGATAACGGAAACATTTTCCACGATTCCTGCTCTAAATAAAAGTAGCCCTAATTGGCCTAAAAACTTCTCAATTTGTGTGATTTTCTTTCTTGGCATAGAAAGACCGAAAAATTAGGAAGTTTGAATATACATGTTATAATTTACTATACAAATATACTAAAGCTATTTATGTTAAAAATACTAAATTGTATTATTTCTACTTGGGGCTTCAAAGAGATGTTCCCGATAAATCTTTACTCTGGTAATTGATTTGGACGAACCATTACTTCTATTTACTTCTTAAAAAACCACGTTAACTGTGTCGTGTAAACTATTATGTATTTAGCATTTGATCTCGTGTCAAGTGTTAATTGGTCCGTGTATTGCGCAATTTAAGGCAAATTAGTACAATTACGAAATTCGCAAGACACGGTATATTTTTGTGACAACAGTTTGGATCAGAATATTTAACATTGATTTATTGAAAATTAATTTCAATATTTTAAACTTGAGATTTTTATGAGCATCTATAAATCAACATTATTGATTGAGGATTAATATTAAATTTAAGGAATAGAGTAGATATAACATTTAAATATCAAGTATTTAATTTTCTATATTTTTAGAATAAGTAGAAAGGCAGTAAATATATTATGCAGAGTTGTTGGTAACTGGTGGTACAAGCGGAAAGGGGGCGATTCTACGCGAAAAAAGAAGTCGAAAATATAGAATAAAAATTTTTTTTTAATTTTTGTTTTTTGTTTTATATTTTTCCATCGAGACAACGATCTACAGTGAGATCCGTTATAACGAGACGTGATAAAGTGCACGCGTACCGAGCGAAAATTCAAAGTCGATTTTCACGAAAACAAAGCCTCGAACGAAAAATTTTTATTCTATATTTTCGACTTCTTTTAACGCGTAGAATCACCCCCTTTCCGCTTGTACCACCAGTTACCAACCACCCTGTATATTAAATTTAAATATCACACGCAAGTTATCCAAGTATCGATTTCTGCCGACTGTTTCCTCATTTACTACTTATGCAGCAATTAATTCGCTATGCTCTGAGGCTTTCCATTGTCGAATAAAAACGTGACAGTTCAGTCTCAAATAATCGTTTGCTCATTTTTAACGAGTTGATATCTTTTTCACAGACCTTGCATCGGACTGACTCGATGGTATCACTCTGCTACCGATCTCTCGCCAGCTATATCACAGACGATAATCTCGCTGGTCTTCAAAGCTTCCTCGAAAACAAACGAGTACTGATCGATGACCGAGACGAGGTAACATTAAAATAACCACTTTCATTTGGATTAAGATATTTTTTAATTCCATCAGCTTTTATTTCATGGAGAAATGTACCCCCTCCCCCCCCCTCTGTCGGAAATATTATATTTAAAATGTTTATAAATTAAAGATATCTCCTTTGAAATTGTCATTCTTTATAAATATACAATTCCATTTTAAAAAATGATTTAAATTTGAAGGAAAAATCGTCGGGAGGAAAATTTGTCGTACTTTATTTTATCCATGTGTCTAGACAGTTTAACTCTGTCTTGAATTATTTTTCCACGAATTTATGAGAATCGAAGAAAACACAAATGATCTTGGAACCTCAAGGAAAATTCCTTTTGTGTTGTTTTATGCGCGTGTTCGTATAGTTCGACTCTGTTCTGAATTTGTTTTTCCGTATTTCTGTGAAGATTAAGATCTCGTTAAAAGTAATCTTGGTCGAAACTTTCTTAATACCATGCTTTTCATCCCTTTGAATGATTTAACTCTTCCTTTAATTATGCTAATTTTGAAAGATTTTTAATAATTTTTTAATAGATTTGGCTTTGTCTATAATCAGATACTAAATAGTTGATTTCGTTGTTCTTACAATAGAATGGTAGTACAGCCCTCATCCTTGCAGCAAGTAAGGGAAAGATACACTTTGTACGAGAGCTTATCAATCATGGAGCAGATGTTAATGCAGAGGACGCAGTTAGTATTATGTGTTATATGATCTGTTGAATTTTATATATGTCTTTTTCCTGTCTATTGTATAAACAATTTCATTTTTTTCAGGATAATTGGACGGCGTTATTGTGTGCGGCCAAGGAAGGGCACACAGATGTGTGCCTTGAATTACTCGAACATGGCGCTGATTTGGAACACAGAGACATGGTAAGGTCTCTAATTCTTTAATATATTTTTATTAGTTATAAAGTGAGAGCAATTTCTGAATATCTAGCGAGCTAAAAATAGCGAACAAAGCTTATTTAAAATTTTTAGAAATTAAAATATTTATTTTACATTTCTAGAAACTAAATGTTTCTTTTAGATCTTTGAAAGATAAAAGAGATTTATTCTGAACGAGTCGTTTAATGTAAAAGTGGTGTAAGTCAATCCTTTGTCTATTTGGTTGAATAGCATATCTCGAAAGCAAAACCTCTATTCTGTTTTGTGCAGAAGTTGTATAAATCTTCATCAGTTTCTCGGTGAATAGCAGAATAAGTGAATTTTTTTGTCCTTATCCGATAATCAACTTTTTGGCTTACACCACTTTAGCTTTAGCACAAACTTTTGTAAATTGAAAAATTTTTTTCTTTTTAAGATTTTCCCTTTGAAGATATTCCTTTCTAAGTACTTTAAGTACACGGATCCCTTTCTTATTCATCTATTAATTTCCTACACTCTATTTTATTTTCACACTTTACAACATTTTTCTGTCATTAATTATATTTATATATTCTAATTTCATGTTTTAAAGTTTCTCTAAAGTTTCATTTCGTTACGAATGAAATATTTAATAACCATAAAGAAATCGGACAAATAGTAAGAAGAGGGAATAATCTATTTTTAGGGAGGGTGGACTGCACTTATGTGGGCGACGTATAAAGGTAGGTCGCCGACGGTGATGATGCTACTAGGACGAGAAGCTGACGTCAATGCACATGGAAATTTTCACATATCTTCGTTGTTATGGGCCGCAGGCAGGGGTTACCCCGATATTGTTAAGGATCTTATTGCTCATGGTGCTAAAGTCAATGTCGGTGACAAGGTAATCTATATTTACCATCTTTTAAGTTCACGTACGATGTATTAACTAGAGACAGAAAAATCCATACTGCGACTTACCATACATTGTCGGAGAAGTCTGTGTTAATGCATTTTTTTCAATTTTTAGTATGGTACTACAGCGTTGGTGTGGGCGTCGCGTAAAGGCCACGTAGAAATTGTAGATACTCTTCTAAAAGCTGGTGCTAATGTCGATACTGCTGGCATGGTAAGACTTTAGTTCTATATAAATGATAATTAGACTACAGATTTTTATGCACTTGCAAAGAAAAGATGACAGATCAGTTATATGAACTTGTGGTTGTTTCACATCTCTAAAGTAATCTCTCCGTGTCTTTCTCTCTCTCCCTCTCTCAATGAAATATTCAGATAATTAATAAAACTTTGTACTGCAGTACTCGTGGACAGCTCTTCTAGTGGCCACTCTTGGGAATCACTTGGAGGTGGTACTACTTCTTTTAGAACATAAACCAAACGTGAACGCGTTAGATAAAGATGGATGCACAGCTCTGGCAATAGCTTGCCGAGAGGGGCATCACGAAATAGCAAATGCTCTTTTGAATGCTGGTGCTTATGTGAACATTCAAGATAGGGCTGGTGATACAAATTTAATTCATGCTGTGAAAGGCGGTCATAGAGGAGTGGTTGAATCTCTTTTAAAAAAGTATGCTGATGTCGACATTGCCGGCAAGGTACAAATATCAATCATATATTACTTTATGTATTTCATTTTTACACAAATAAAATTACTTACCTTTAAGTGTAAAATACTTTTCGTTTATCTTTGTGTCCAAAATGACTCCATTATTTTTGGCGATGTATTTTAATCAGTATCTCAGGACAACCATTCAAATTTTATAAATATTTTAGGATAAGAAAACTGCAACCTACATAGCAGTCGAAAAAGGCAATATTTCAATATTGAAACTGTTATTAAATGCAAACCCAGATTTAGAAATTGCGACAAAAGATGGTGATACTCCATTATTACGGGCAGTTCGATCGCGAAACGCTGAAATCGTGCAGATATTGTTAGACAAAAAAGCTAAAGTATCAGCCACCGATAAAAAAGGTGATACTGTGCTACATATAGCTATGCGAGCTAGATCGAAAGCCATCGTTGAGATACTATTGAGAAATCCAAAAAATAGTCAACTACTGTACCGTCCAAATAGACAAGGAGAGACTCCTTATAATATCGACATCAATCATCCAAAGACCATTCTTGGACAAATATTTGGTGCACGTAAGTCATTAATCAATAAGATTAAATAAAACCAATAGTACATAATATAGTTCCTCTTTTCTTTCTTTCTTCCTTTTTTTCTTTTTTTTCTATCAACTGAATATAACTGAATGTTCATTTCAGGGCGTCTTAATACCAATGAAGATAATGAAAATATGCTTGGTTACGACTTGTACAGTAGTGCGTTAGCGGATATCCTCAGTGAACCATCTCTTTCAACGCCTATAACTGTTGGCCTTTACGCGAAGTGGGGTTCAGGAAAATCATTTTTGTTAAATAAATTAAGAGGTAATATTTATAATGGTTTACAAATGCAACAACTAAATTAAAAATTGCATAAAATACTCATATACTGGTAATAATTTTTTCAGAGGAAATGAAAAATTTTGCTCGCCAATGGATGGACCCAGTATTCCAATTTTCTGTCTTATTATTCGTAATAGTAACTCATGTATCTTTGTTAGTGGGTATCACAATAGGTCTTGCCCTCCAATCATGGATTGTTGGGCTTGCGTGTGGTATAAGTCTTATTTTTTTTACGTACACTTTTTTGATACTTGTCTGGTATGCTAACAAAAGGTAAGATTGCAAGATTGAAAGTATATACTTTATGTATTTTCATAGTATTTAATTATGAAATATTTAAATTGTAGATATGATTGGTATTGGCCATACAATTTCACGGTAGCCCTGACTACAAAATTAAATTCATTGAAACTGCTTTTACAAGTAATTTTTTGTCATCCTCCTGGTGGTCGAGTTCACGATGATATCACTGTTCAACCCATAAAGTTCTATTTTACTGACCAAACCCGAGTCGGCACAACTGCTGCCGGAGAGAACGCAGTAGTACAAATGGTAGGATCGCTTTATGATTCCATTGAGAATGAGTTTGGTTCCTTATCCACGCGACTCTACAGAGCATTCAGACCAAAACCAGATAAATCAACGACAACATGGAAATGGAGACATCTTTGTTGTTTACCATATATAGTTATATTTGAATTCTGCTTTTGCAGTTTACTCGTTGGTATTTCCGTACTTACGGTCTATCTCATCGATATTTCTAGCAGCGAGTTAGTATACAATTTCTCAGAAAAACTATAAAATCAAAATTGTTATAATTAATTATTTCTTTCGATTTTTAATATCACAGGCCAACAATAGAAAGAGTTACATCACACATTATTATGATAACCGTTGCCTTAATACTAGCTGTTAGTGTAATAGCAAACTTATATACATGGAGTCGAACGTTGCAAGCACTTGTTTTCTCTCAAAGACGGCACCTACAGCGCAGCATTTCTAAGTTAGAGACTTTAAAAAGCGAAGGTTTTATACAGACGCTAAGAAGCGAAGTCAGTTTAATGACCGAGATGGTATATTACTTATTAATTGAATAATTGAGTAATGTATTTTCATTAAACTGTTCTTTATACTTAACAAAATTTTTGTAAAAAATAAAACAGGTTAAATGCCTAGATAGTTTTATGGCACAACAAAGCAGATTAGTAATAATTGTGGATGGTCTGGATAGTTGTGAACAAGATAAAGTGTTGTTAGTTTTAGATGCTATACAAGCATTATTCAGTGATAACGGTTATCCATTTGTTGTTATATTAGCGATCGATCCACATATTATTGCCAAGGTATCTCAAAATGTTTCATTATCTTTTCATGAAACGTGATATGTGTAGTTTTTTACATGATATAAAATTTTGTTTCTTACATTCAGGCAGTGGAAGTCAATAGTAGAAGATTATTCACAGAGTCTAATATCGGAGGACACGATTACTTACGTAATATGGTGCATCTTCCATTTTATTTGCAAAACAGTGGTTTGCGAAAGGTAAAAGTAGCTCAACAAACTGCCCAACATAGTAGAAAAACTACGTGGACCGAAGCCGAGGAAAGTGTAAATTACACCGCGACTAGTACAATGCATCACTCTGTTTCTAACAGAAGACTTAGCACGGAGTCTGCTATAATGAACAGCAATGAAAAGTTGAAACCGCAAAGCAGAAAAGGCAGTAGAAAATTACGATTAAGCGAGTCAATCGCAAGTAGCATCGGTAGCAATTTAAATCGATTGGGCGGTGCACAAGATCTCAATAAAATGCTTCTCACTGACGATTACTTTAGTGATGTGAATCCTCGTAGTATGAGAAGATTAATGAATGTTGTTTATGTCACTGGTAATAAAAACAACTAATCACTGAGGGACTCATTTCTATGTGTCCTGCTTGTTTCTAATATATTATATGCCTCTTTTTAGGAAGATTATTAAAAGCATTCCAAATTGATTTCAACTGGTATCATTTAGCTAGTTGGATCAATATTACTGAACAATGGCCATTTAGGACGTCTTGGTTGATTCTTCATTACGATATGTATGAAGATAGTTTAGATGATTCCATGTCGTTGAAAAGTCTTTATGATAAGTATGTCTTTTCCGAATAAATGCCTTGTAACATTTTAATAGCCGGTTTGTATTTAATGCTTCTTTTCAAATCATTAGGATACGACCCCAAATCCCAGTACTTAAAGAAGTTCAACCTCTGTTAGAAATGGATAGAGATGAGCGGAAACTAGATATTTTCCTGACGTTTCATCGTTCGAGTTTACTTGTTAGCGATATGAAAATATTCTTACCATTCACAATAAATCTCGATCCTTATATTAAGAAAAAAATAAAAGAGGAGCAACAGAGCATGGAAGAAGAATCAGGACTACTTGGTCCATATAAACAGTATAGTCCTTGGACTTTACCTAGTAATACACATGAATCATGGAGTGTAAATAAAAGTGGTTTATCAAATCGAACAATGAAACTTGTTAAAACACCAAGTCTACAAGGACATGTACCAGTACCATCAACATCATGGGTACAACCGTGTATGCAGCCAACATTCGATTGGCAGACTACTCCATCGTGGCAAGTACTTCCCATGGAACCAGCGGTTAAACCACTCTCTGCAACTACAACATTACCGGTATATATACATATAACATGATATTATAATGATACTATGACTATTATTATTACAATATTGTTATATAATTTTCTTTTTCTTAGTCCGAGATTTTGGAGATAAGACTATCATCTTTAACAGTAAATGGAATTTGCGACCTTATTGATAGGATCGACAGTATAAGTCCTAATCAAGCACCACAGTACAAACAAGTTATTAAAGAGAATAACATTAATGGTAGAGTTTTATTGCATTGTGATTTACAGGAGTTGAAAAAGGTAAGCTTTACTTCCATGATTTTAACTGACAGGTATTATGCAGTCAATAATAATTCTTTATTTATAGGTTCTTAAAATGGCTTTTGGAGATTGGGAATTGTTTCGTATGGTGATTGTGTCGCTTAGAGAATTGGAAGTTTCATCATTTAGCACACAAGAAGAAGGTTCACGAAGTGTTCGTTTCACCGTAGGATCGGAACAAATTCAACGAAAAGGAGGAGGTACGTATACCGATTATTTATATAAATAGTAATATATTATAAAAGTATAAAATATCAAATGTATATAAAAATTATCTCTTATTATTTAAGATCATGCTTTACAAAATACTTCGATACGTGTGCCAACACATGTAGAAAAAGACAAGGGAACATCAAGAACCGATGGTCCTAGACGAGATCAAACTAAACAATCTATTATGGAAAAACAAGTAAGCTTCTTTACTCTATATGAATAAAATCATAGAAGTATGTTTATTCTAACAATTAATTAATCAATTAATTAAGTATTGTTCTCATTACAATCGTGCTCGGTTTTAGTTCCAGGTGAGCGAAATCGTATTTAACATTTCATATTAATTCCTTTATAAAACACATGAATAACTATTATAAGTTTAATACTAAAACATCAAATAGGGAAACAAGTAATTAAATTTTTCAGGTAACTTTAGAAGAACAGATGATATGTGGTGCATTACAAACTTTAAATGAAGAAGCGTGTGAAGATGTATTAGATGTACCATCTTCTGCAGTGGTACCATCAGACTCACTTGCAGGTGAGCCCTCTCCCCTACCACTTTCACTGCCTCTGGTTATAGTTCAAGAACCACCACAACCAGACCAAAAGTGTGACACCGTACTAGAATATAGTACAAATTTTTAATGAATTTAAATCAGATATAGCTGTGTAACTCGATCATGTATCATGTGTGTACAGCATCAATATGACCTCACTGCATTCGAAGATGGTTATACAAAACTTATCATCCGCAATGTTTCAGTTCCGCCGGAAAATTTGGTCAATATAACTGTTGTTTAAATGTTTCTTACCACCCATATTCATGCGTAGATGAAATCGTAGCAGTATTATGAACAGATAGGTGTACCTACATACAACGGACAGTCAATAAAAATCTAATTTATTTATATACATATATATTTTAAGTATAATATATATGATAGAAATTAAAAGAATTATTATCACCTTCATCCTACTATTGACTCTACATGTGTCAAATTTTTGAAAATGTGCCAACGCGTTACGAGAGACTGGGTTACTATAATTAAATAATATAAACGAATGTCTGTGTTAAAAAAAGAAAAATGTCATTCATTGTAATATATTATTATTATTATTATTATTACGGTAGTGATTTGGATGTATGTGTTATCATAGATATAGTAAAAATATCATTTTCGTATAGTAGTTTAAGTACATTAATGGTATAGCTTGCGAAAAAGAAAACTGTGTCATTTTGTATTCCTAAAATTCTGGAAAATACTCTAGGTATTCCTGTCGCAAATAATATAATGCTAATGCTTAATAGTCATACATTCAGAAATACTGTATTTTTCCATAATGAACACATTTGTGAAACAGGCTGTGATAATTAGTTGTTACTGTCATTGAATGTTATACAAATATACTTCTTTTTGGGATGTTTATGCTGATAGATCTTGTATATTTAGAAAGATAAGCTTCTATAAGAAAACATTTTATATACCAAAGTAAAGACTATCATTATATTTTCTTCTTTATTCGTGTGTTCTTTGGTACTGTATGTACAATTATCTTAACTGAATTGTTGGATAATTATATTATAAATGCGAATGGCAATAAAACTCTGTTGGAAACTTGAAGTGATATTATCTTTCTTAGACTAGATCTATAAGCTTATCGAGTGCTTTAATTTTATATCGTTATTCAAATTCACAACAATATTACAAACAATTAAATCATCTCATCAAAAAAAAAAAAATTAATTTAATAACTAATCGTGTTTCATTTAGGAATCCTCTTCTATAATGCTTAATGTTTTATCATTCACCGCTTAACGGATGAGCTTTCAACTTACATTTAATGCATCTCGTGTGACCAAAAAGGAAAAACTGGATAATATGAAGATTTGTTTTAGGATCCATTTCGATGGCCCCTCAAGATACAGATTACGTGATTCTTCAATCTAATCCACTTCTACACTGGGTACCAGTCAACGATGAACCAGAGACGTCAGACGACAGCTCGTTCGAGTCGACAGTACATCTTCAACGTACGAACTCTCAACGTAGTATTACATCTCAACTTAGCACCAGATCGGCTTGTTCGTTCGGACGTAAAGAGCTAAGAAAGAGTGGAGGCAATTCTATCAGTAGTAGACCAGCGTCGCTTTTTGTGTCTCCTCCGCCTTCTCCCAGACCCGCCTTCAGATCCAAATCAACAGATGAATACTATGTAGCTAATAATATACCCATGAAATCGGCTATCTCTACACCTATGAAGAAACGATGTTCAACTTCGACCTTAAATGATGAGTTAATTTTATCGGTCCCTGTTCCAAACTCTAGCTTGGAAAAGTTAAGCAAACTGAAAGACCGTCTTATGGGGACGTTACCTGTCTCGCCTGCTCCAGGAGAGAGCGAGGATGAGTCCACGCCGTTAGTTTCCGAATTATCTACTCCAACTCACTCGCAATCTGATAGCGTGTTTAAACATGACTGCAGCGAGGAGAACAGTAGCTCGATTTCCTCGAATAAAAGTTTACCACGTGATGGAGAACGATCCATCGATGTTGTTGATTATTCCGACACTGTTAGTTTAATGGTACGAGAAGCTTCGCAAGTGCGGTTCTTATCTCGTCAAGATGCCGAGGAATGGGACAATCCCGAAACACCTGTTTGATGTCATCTGCTACACAGTTGTTAGCCAGTTTCCTTAATATGCAATAACGCATGAGAAAAAAACTTTAAATGAAATGGTACTTAAATCGGGGCTTGTGATATATATTTTCAAAGAGAAAGATAGTCAAAACAGCAAATTGAAAAATTCACACATTTGTACATAGTAAATAGAAGATATCGAACTTTTTAGATAAAGCGTTCGAAGCTGTTCATGCATCAGAGCGATAATATTAGACAAAGAGAGAATGCCTTTTATGCAATATATGTACAGTATGTTTGAGTTCATTGTTGCAGAAGATACATCTGATAATCGCACTCTAACATTCCTTGATACTAATTTTAATGCATTTAACGAGACGCCAGCGTATCAACTGTTTCTTTTCAAAGAAGTGAAACAGAAAACATTTCTTTTATCATATTGTAAACATATGCTGAATGATTAATTCAAGTCAATTCATGAAAGCAGTAATGAAACTCGACAAATTATATGTACAAAAAAATAAATTATATTTAATAAATCCTAATTCTCATACCGGATGGTATTGATTTTAAATATTAGTATTAAATATCAAATATATTATAACAAATAAATAAATATTACTAATTTATACGACAGTGGATGTCATAAAATTAACAAGATATTTCATGATAGCAAATATCTGTGTTTTCACATTGCTTTCATTATCGCGCATTTAAACATAAAATTATAGAATAGATCTTTGAAGCTAGGTAACAAAAAATTGATGATTGTCATTCTCTAATTTCTAAAAGACTATTGGTACTGTATCATATGTATATGTATATGTATATCGGGGACAATATTTAACACCGTAAGTTTTATTATTTCAGTACTTAAATTTTTACTGAAAATATTTTTGTGAAGTTCTACTAGACGTTACGCAGGTTGTCACAATCTTAATGAATTTTTATTGTAAACTTCATCTTGCAAAGTTACGAAGAGGGTACTATTATTTTAACATTCTGTTTAATAATGTTTCAATGCCTAATTTATAAAATACATAGAAAATGAATAAATACATCTTTAAGGAATTTACAATACAACTTTTTAATAATACTTTTTTATTACAAAGCAAAAAATTATACATATGTATATAACAGTGTATGTATATGTATATATATATAATACTTTAGGACGGAATACATTAGGGTTATTGGTTAATAATAGCATTGTAAACACAAGTAATATATATATTAGATTTTCAAATAATAGTATTATATGTACTTTGCTTATTACTATTAAATATAGTATATTTAAATACATAGAACATCGAACAGCGCCTTATTCTACTTTCATAAATGCTCATATATGGAATATAATAAGTACTTTAACAGCCTTTTGCGTAATTCAAAACGTGTCCTATTTTTCATAACTTATGTTCTGATAAACATAATGTTTCATAGCTGCCTTTTAAATGCATTATGCATAACAACTTTCGTAATACAATAAACTATCAGATCTCAATGTATGAAATAATATTTACCATTAATCTAGTCATAGATTGTTCTTTTCACTCTAGAAAAATTTGTACGCTACTTGCTCTTTCAAAAATCATAAATTTGTTTAGTTTATTGCATTACATATTTAAAAGAAGCAATTTTTTATAAAATACTGATATGTTAGTTACAAATATTACAATTACAAAAACAATAAAAACTATGAGAGGAAGAGAAAACATTTTGGCGGTACAACATAATATGGTAAAAAGTACGGTATCGTAGATATCGATACATAGATATAAATTATAAATCTTTTCTATGAAAAATGAACTGCATTATCGTTTTCTCGTAATTTTTTGTAAAAGTAAATCGATAAAAAGAGATCACCTCTTATGAAATAATTATATCTATAACAATGTACATATGTTCGTGAATAAAGGTATTTTCAACAATAAAACGTTTTATAGTAAATAAAAAATAAATTGATAGGAATGAGCATAAAGAAATTTTAATAAAGATATCTTCCTTTATTATTGTTATCGAAGGCACTATGGCAAATGGAAAATATCTAACCAGTATTGAAATACTTCTAGTAGACTATCACCTGGGCACTCAGATTTCATTTATAAATTCTAAGTAATAAAATATTTTCAATTATATATAAATATACAATTAGATGAGAAATAAGTCAATTCAATAAATTTAATTTTTAGTAGGAGCTCCATACATTACCTCTTTTTAATGTACATGTGTGTTCTTATTGTATAATAAGATATAAGGACACTTAACTCTTTGTAAAAATTGACTATGTTATACAACAATAAATATAGAACACACATAAATAATTTGCATGACAGAACTGAATTGATAATGTATTAAAGTAAAACAATTATTGATAAAAAGCAAATAAAAATATTAACTTTTTTATGACATAGGTACTGTACTTAGATCTGTACTGTAAATCTGATTTCTATGCATGATTTCTCTTGCATTAAAGAGTACTAATGCAGTTGTCAAATGGTATATTACTCGAAGCACAAACTTAAAACATCAATCTCGTATAAAAAATACGTCAAGTAAAAAAAATTTTTAATTAGGAATTATATTTATACAATTCATATTTCTTGAAATTGTAAAAATTAATACAATTTTTCAAATGAAGTGCTTATATGAATTAAAATTATATAAAATTAAATACTTACATAAATGCAAATTATTCGTAATTTGCAAAAAATATAAATGCTGACTGGTCCCACTGATATAATATGTCAAATTATTCTTTCATTTTATTGTATTACTTCTTTTCCTACTTAGGCAACATTGTACTCCTATAGGCACTTTAAGCAAGTCAGTACATATTATAAGGAAGACCAAATTTGATAAATATTTTTCTTTTTGTTTTTAGAATTGTAATCTGTTTTTATATATTTCGTTGATTACTTAATACTTCAAAGTTGCGTTGTGATTACAGTCTTCCTCGTAATTACTGTATGTTTAATTGGAGTTTGATCTGCCGTCGTTGTTTGTGATGGATCGGCTACTAGCCAAGGACTGATATCGGAAACAGCCGAATTATCATCCTAGAACAGAAGAAAAATATGCAGAATATTAAATATTCAGATGCATTGGAATTTCGATATAAAATTTTTACGATTTATTGATATTTTACAGATGTTTAAAAAAAGGTAAAAAAAACAAACACATATTTGCATACAATTTGCACAAGCTAAAGCATTTTTAGACGAATACAAGGACTACGTGTGTTACAATAGTTAACTGACAAACATTTAAAAAATGAGCCACACCTTGTGAGTAAGAGTCGTAGTAGTTGTTTGTATTTCTTCAGTTTTCACGACTCTCGCTCCGTTTTTCTCTGTTTCCACTTCAGTTTTCTTTTCAACCGTGGGCTGTATTTCTTTAAAAGGATTAAGCAAACCCAAAAACGGATTCGAATCTATAAACGGGTTTGTATTCGCTTTCTTTTCCTCTTCCGTTTTTGTATCGTCCTCGGTATTTTCAGAGACAGTAGTAACTTCGTTGTTATTATCGCTAGTGAAGGGATTGAACGGATTTTGAGATTGGTTTGAAACTTTAGGATTCAATTGTGTTGTTTTTTGTTCAATTTGTCCCCAACTGTCTAGAGAAAAATGCGTTACTGTAACGTTGTCATCCGCTGATGGATTTGTCATCATAGCACCACTTACTGACAGTGTCAATTTATCTCCGCCCTAAATAAGAGGTAACGCAAAAAAGCAAACGAATCACATCTAAAGCTTAGAAGCACAAAACGATAAAACAAATATTGGAAAAAGATGAAACAAGATATAAAAAAGAAAAATTCAAGACATGTTTGAGTCCATAAAATGAAAGAATATTCGCGTATATACAAATTTTTCAAGTCTATTATAAACTTTTGTTTGTAATGTCTGCGTTTAATTGCTACAATTGTACTAATTCAAATACCAAATACTATTTTTCTGAATGCATTTATTTAAAAAATGTAAGGTAATTCAATTAATCAATAGCATTCTAAAAAAAACAGAACAACTTTCTACTGTATAAATTACCCATATTTATGTCAATATGTTGCATAATGAATAATATCAACAATATTAAAGAATTTTAGTTTTCTTACCACCGATACAATTGTTGCTGCATCAGAATGCTGATTGTTCTTAGTAATAACTGGAGATGCATCCATAGACGTGATGGAAACCAAATTTGAATTTTTTCCTTGCTCTAGAGACTTTGCTTTCAGTATATTGCACTTTAATGATTCTGGCGGAATAGGCGTACGTGGGGGCAGTGAAGAGGTACCACCAACTTGATTATTTGGCACTAACGATGTTTGATTAGTCATATTTTCGATGATTAAACTCGTTTTCACAGGCTCTGTTTCTTTTTCAGTGTTAGCAACTGCTGTTTGATTTCTAGGCTCTAAAGGCTGCTGATCCTTGGCCAGTGATTTCAGTAAAGAATCTACCAAAGGTGAAGACGTAGCATGTACGCTGGAGTCTGACGATTTTGTACTACATTGACTCGGCTGACGTTGCAAAGACTCTTCTTCGTCTATAAAGAAAAATACTTATCAAGATTAGAAAACTCATTATACAGCAACTTTATATCTTTTCTGGCAAAAAGAAGATACTTTTTTATACTTACTGTTAACTACTGGAGCTGGTGGTTGCGGTTGTTCCACTTGCTGACGTTGACGTTCTCTTAAAACATGGCTTTGACGACGCGCGTATCTTTGACTTGGTCGTCTTTCAAATTGTACTGTTCTGCGTGCTCTATTCAGCTGAGTGGTTTGAAATTCGGTTTTACCGCTGTAACGAAAACGTGAACCCATACGAAAGAAATTTTGGCGTCCACTAGCACCTTTAACGGGTGCACGTAATCGAAAGAAAGCATGATGCTCTACAGCGCACTTCCATAAATGTTTGCAAGCCTTTTCATTGACAAGTCTGAACACAAACGTATGTTCTTGTTCTCCTCTCCCTTCATCATCCTCTTCCACCACAACTAATGTTAGTTTCTTCTTTTTAAAGTCTAGCCGACCAATCTTGGGCCAAAAGAACAAGCCTATTTTTTGTGTGCCTTCGAAGACCAAGATTCCCGTTGGCGTTAATCCCAAAGAGTATTCACATGCATCTTTACCGAGAACGGTATGCATATCTACACCATACATATCTAACCATTTAGCTTTACTGAGATAAGCTGATTCAGCTTGTGCTGGACTAAGACCAGAACACTTGGCGTATTCTTCAAGTATTTCAAGCTCCATTTGCTCTGTTTGGCCTGGTACAAATCTAAATTCTGATACTGTTGCTGCACTATGTATGGCAGGATCGTAATCACCAAGCTCAGCTAAAAGTACAAATAAATTTATATCAAATATAATTACAATTCACATTATTTCTTAACTTATTCATTCTTTTTTAGATACTTACATTGAAGAGATAAAGCAGCCAATTGCACAGCAACTTGGTGAGGACAATGAAGTTTTCCTTCCAAAACATCTTGCTTTAATTGCAAGAAAAACTGGTATCTTGTTAATTCTTCGCGCAATGTATTAGGTTCTGATGAGTAAAACTTTACCTTGAGCCGTAAAGTATATGGTGGTCCAACTACATAAAATATCATTTGTTAATAATAAAACAACGAATAATTAATTTTGGAAACAGAAGGAAAAGTGATGCATTAATTTCAATGAACAAAAGGAAATTTGTTTAATGCATAGAAAAAACAAACATACTTTTTACTTGTTTCTTTATTGGCTTAGTGGGATCGAGCCAATGCTGAACATTATTGCTATCGGTATATTGCAATCCAAAATAATCTTTCTCTATTAAATCTAAACTATAAAACACTTGTTCATATAAGTCGCTAGCTAATGCTTTTTTCTGTAACACAAAAATAATTCACAAAAATATAAAAATCTGTGTACCAAGAATATAAAAGAGGATAATAATATGTAGGACAGACATGGGTGGTATTTATAGAAAGAAACAATTTAATTTGACAGAATCAAGGAAAATATTAAGTGCAACATAGATATATAAAAATTAAGGAGATAGAAAATAAAACTAAAAAATACAAATGAAAATTATAGGAGAAGAACATAATCAGTCAAATTTCTTACAAAGAAACAGGTTTAATATTCAGTATGTTATCAATCAATTCCATTGCTCCTTCCTATTTACATTAACCAAACATTGGCATAAAAATTGAATAGCAAGTATTATTTATTAGATAAGAAATATTTTCAATAATTACCATTGATTTTTAATAGATTATTCTACTCACTGACAATTCTATTGGTAGATCCGTGCCATCAAGCAAAACGACCCTACATTGAACAACATTCTTATTGCTGAGCAATCGTTGATTTTTTATTTGGGACGACGTAGTCTGTCCGCTGACACTACGAGCCCTACGTCGTGACAAAAATCTTAACATTTTATTTGACATACGTCGAAGCAAATTTGCTGTCGTTCAACAAACGATATATTGACCCAAAACGCTACATTCCTTCTTCTACGCGGATATTATACTTTTCCGCGATACGTCGCGTCGGTTAATACGCCCACTTGTACACGTAAAACACGCGTAATCACGTCGAAGCTACGAGGAAAAGAATAATTATTAAACGTACATGTTAGAAATCGGATTAGAAAAGAGATTTTATGTTACTTTTATGTTTGTTGACTAGACATAATAAATCTCGAAATCCAAACCTATCCGGAGAAGATACACATCTCTTGGTACTGGTCCCACTGATACTGAACGCTACGAATATTTTTTATGTTGAT